GGCGGCTTTGAGTCACGTGTTCTATGGATTTGCTTTGTTATATTGGCCAACAGGGCAAATCAACCAATACTGGCGTAGGGGCAATCAAATCAGTCAAATCTTGGCGTTATTTAATTTATTGGCTTTAACGGCAGCGCTGCCTTCGTCGGCTCTTCCATTGGATCAATTGCGGGTGGTATTCTCGAACTGCTTGAAAGTAGACGTTGAAGAAATCTACCGATGAACCGCTCTTTTCCGCATCAAGGATGCTCTGGAAGACTTGTAAAAAGACAACGCCATTGTTGATCGCTGGAAATGCTAGCCTTGGGCTCGGGTACCTGGAGTAAGACCTCCAGGGGTCGAAAAACTCATTGTATTCCTTGGGGTCACCATCAAGTGCTGCCCAAGTTCGTCGTGCATTATGTATTGGATGAGATGTATAAATCATTAAGTGCTCAGTGTCAGATGATTCTGGTACACGGAGTAGCTGCCCATGGCAATGTGTTCCAGCCCGGCAATCGGCTCGCAGCAACGGCAGGGGCAAAGCTTCTTTATCGTCTGATGCTGAAAATATGTTCCAACTAAGTCGATAGTACTCAAAGGAGGTCGAGCCATAATGGCACATCGATATGGATGCGGAAGAGATGAATAGGTCTTCAAGCTTGGGCAGAACATGAAAGCATGCAATAACAGAAGCAGAGAGAATTCGGAACTTGGCTTCGTCATTGGTCTGTTGCAGCACGCAAAGCCTTGATTTGGTGGGCATGCCTGTATATTTTTCCATAGGGTACGGGAGATTCGCGTTGCAGACTTCGTCGTCGTTGTCGCAAAGGACGAACAGATGAGTTTTATCCGGTTCGTCTTCAGGGCCGATAATGCATTCGTTAGCATATATGTAAAGAGTGCTAGTCCCAGCCTTCAAAGCATGGACATGAACTTCGCCAACTTTCTCAATCTCTGCTTTCGAAAAGTCGATGTTGCCGAAAGACATTATGTGCTTTGCTGTCAGGTTGAATGCCCCAGTAGAACTTTCTATCGCTGCTTGAGAGTGCCAGCACGTCTCGTACCACACCGGGTCAAAAGTATAGCTGATCCATTCGCAGGCCACTTTGTAGCAAGTATGTCGGGTTAGACATGCGGACTTCGCAATCATTTTGAAGCCACCCTCCTCGGGAAGGTAACACTCGTGGTGCCCGGAATACGCCTCTATGAAGTCTTTGCACTTGCAGAGCCAGTCAAGCTGTAGATTACTTGTGCTGGGAATGAGGTGCCTACTTCTGGACACATCATATTGCGCAGGAGGCACCCAAGAAGGTATCCCTTCTGGCGCCCGGCGTCCTGATGCGTGAAGCAAGACACGAATATCCCTCTTGGTAAGCATACAATAGGCATAGTAACCAATGGCGAGGTGTCGAAAGGATATGGAGTAATTCGCCGCAATCTGATGCTCTTCTGAATCAATCAAACCCAAGATGCCGAAGATCTTGTCGCGAGGGTCCGAGGCACGTGAAGCGTCCACAAATTCGACAGCTGCCCGGAGATTGTTTCCCGACTGATCGCCTATCGACTTTCGTGTTATGAAAGCAAACCATGGAATGTGGCAGGCATGGGCTGCATAGGAGCTGACTGTGTGGTCGACGATGAATTCCGTGTCGCCGATACGGACGGTGATATTGCTGGACATGATAAGTTCTTGGATGATCCAGAGTCGTCGAAAGTATTCTCTGCTGAAAACATCCGATAACTTCCATTGCTTTGAGGGGATCAAATAATCGGAAGGCAATTGCGGCCTTTCTGGAAGGGTGTCAAACTCTCGTAAATTGTGTCTCCTGGGGTATAGTGACGATGTTGATGTCGGGGGAACAAGGTCAGGCCCAAGGTAGATAACAACTCGACTGGCTTTCTCGTAAATCCTACCCATATTGGCAACTTGCTCTTGTCTTTCTTGCATATCAGTCTGATTAATGCAGATTGCGTCCACCCAGATAGTTCGTACGCCCTTCCATGGCCGCATATGCCTCAGCATCTCCCAACAGTTACGGGTCTGAAGAAGAATGTCCCAGTATGGTCCGATGTAAATAGGTTGGCTGAGGCGACTATCTCCGTTCTCGCCACCCCATGTGTAGGATACCGTTTCGTACTCGTGATAACGGAGGTCATCGTACACCTCCAGACTGACGTGGATGGGGTGGTTGACGTCTTCAACTGGATTAAGACACATTACGCGAAACTCGTCCTTCCTCAGGCGTTGGGGGTAGATACTGAAACGATGTGGCTCTCCTGGTGATTTGCCTTCGTCGGAAGACGAGATTGACTTGCCACCTTGAGGCGGTTGAACTGGGACGCGATGTCCATCGGTTCCAGTGGTGACATACGGCACGCATGGCGGCCACCAAAGGCGCATCTGACCCGGCGGCTCATCCGGGGGAAGGAAAGGTATTGACGATGACTTCGCTGCTTGTGCCGCAAGCAGGCCATCAATATCGGGGGAGCTGTTACATGATTCGCAGTGTGGTCGTTGTTGCTGGACGACGATATGCGGATTGGAGCAAGAGGAGGCGTGCCATCGACTCATGCTGGCATGGGGCACCGGCGGCAGACTAAGCGAATGGACAGTATTTAGAGGACCAAGATGTATGTTGTGAAGAGGCGACGATATAATGAATTTGTCAAATTTCGTTTCGAACGTAAAGAAGCCGACACGAGGTGTCTAGAATCGAGTGTTGGTGGCCGATGTGAGTAATTTTGCGTGCGGGGTTGCTGTGGCTATGTTAAATCTGTCGTCAACAATAGGAGGTAAGATTCCATTATTACCATGCACGTCGCCGGCAAAGCACAGGTTGGCAGGCAAGGCATCCAATAATTGAAAGCAGGCAATGGGGACACCGGGTACCTCAGCCGGTGGATACGTCGATTGGACCAGTAAAAGACCCTTTTCAGAAGGACTCGTCTCAAAATGCAGCCAGCCGTTGTTCAACACATGAGAATTTCACAAAGTCCAGCCAGAAACGCTCATGGATAGTTGCGCTGTCATTGTGAACTACAACTTGTTGTAACTAGTAGGAAATCGATTGTCGTTATTTTGTCTAAACCCATTTTGTACATGTCGCCAAGATAATATCTGCTCCCTTACAAGTGCTTTCTCTTCGAAAGAGGCGTAGGACCATCGGGAAGGCCGCACTTGAAAACACACCAATGTCAGTAAATGTTCCGTCGCAACATCAACTTGTAGACACAGGGCGCAACTTACGTAGAAAACAACCAAGCTACCTCCATCAAAGATCGTCTCAACCGACACAGTCTCGTTCGAAGCCGGAGTAAGAGTAATATCGCTCCTTGTGTTCCAGTAAATCCCAGAGATGAGAGCCGGCTGTCCCATGCCGGGGATAACCGTCGCGTTGGCCCACACGCCGGGGTCTCCTCCGGTCGCCTCGGCGAAGACCTCCACGGCGACCTGCTGCGGCGGGTACGGCGACCCGTAGCCTGCCGCGCCGGCGACCTTAATCACCAGGTTGCCCTGGAACGGGGAGTCGATGTTGAAGTCGACGATCTTGTCTGTTGTCGAGTAGGTGCTCTTGGCGCCATCGAGGACGGGCTCAAGCGGCGTCGAGGAGTTGCAGCCTGCGGCGGTTGAATTAGACGCATTCTGGAAAATTTCCCGCGCTTCCATGCGGGGTGTGTTGGGTCTAACTTACGCGAGAAATCAGCGCGAACGGCCCAGGAGCCCTGGGAGATGGCAGCGAAGGCGCCGCTGGCGGCGAAGGCTGAAGCGAGGAAGATGGAAGAGAGCATTTTGGGCTAGTTTGTATCGTTGGTTCTCACGGTCAACATCAACAGGTCTCGTTCGGGGGGTCGTGAAGATTCTTATTTGTAGATCCCGGGGCTTTCGTCGCTGCAATGAAGGGATGAACACCCGCCGCTCTCCACTACGAGACCAGCATCATAGGGGTTCGGATGGGAGCGAAATAAGGTTTTGCGGTGCTACCGGAGCGTCATGCAGTTGTTAAATGACCCTCTTAATTTCTCGTATGCAATTTATATAGGGTTAGCCAAGGCCATCGCTGTTCATGCGAGTCAGACATAAAGACTTGACTCCCCTCTAGCAGGTAATTGTGACCTTCACCCGCCGCCTATTTTCGGACGGACCATCTGAAGATTGATCTTTCAATGAGACTTTTATATGGAAATGACTTTCGCTGACAGAGTTTAGAGACTGCTTCCCGGCCTTAGCGCCAGATTGTGTCAAGCCCTATGGCGATCCGTTCCCTCTCATGGGATGAAATATCCCCGAGAAGCCGTGGTGAACTGCGAACAGGTCGCGTTTCTGTGATTGACGAGTCATTAAATAGACGAAAGATGCCACCATCCTCCTGGTATGTTCATATCAGCAAAAGAGTCCGGCAATTTGATGATCGAGAGATGGAAGTCTAAGGGATTTCGGGGCTTGGCATTTCCCAACTCCGTTACGCTACTGCGTCTATGAATAAGTATGCTTCGGGTCGCACTTGACACCGGGATGCGTTTAATGCCATGAACTCAGTATGTCATGAGTATTTGAACTTGCAAGCAATTGAGTCTGAAGGCAGGCTGATCGCATTGCCTTGTTGGCTGCATTCAGGTCAGAGAAGGAAAGACAGCTAACGCAAAGAAAGGGTGTGGTTGATCGGAAACTGATTTTTACAGTTCAGATGCCCTTTATTTGATAATCATCTAATAAGAGCTCAATACATTCTCAATTGAGCTGCGAAATTTGGAAGCATGATTCCTGCAACACAGCTGCTTGCTGCTTTGTCCCATAGCCATACCGACGTTCAAGACTTGGATTGCAAATAACACTGAACAAAAACAGTAGCCCCTTGCGCAAGTAAGTTATGCAGAATCCGAACGTACCCTCGATACTCCTCAAACGTATTTTGGACTGACTGTCGCGAGACATTCAGTGGACGATTTCACCTCCAATGCATCACCGCCACAAAGATGGCCCAGAAACCCCGATAAGAACCAACCAACACCCTCAACTCAGCCTGTCTTATCCCACGTGATATCCCTCCCGTCGGTACTTTCAATCCGACAGCCCCCCTATCCCCCAAGTCGGGCTACCACATCGCGCATCTCAGATAAAAAGACCAACAACATCCCGCCGGCTTATCTCAGTGGAGCACCCCTCCCCCCGAACCAGGTCCCCGGCCGCGCGCCAAGCCACCCGCTCCGCATCTGCGCCCATGCAATCCTTATCGGGGCGATGGGATAGATGTCATCGGGCTGCCGTCCGCCCGTGAACTCGCGTGGCAATGCACCGCTGACGCCGTCGGTTGCAAAAGCGCCGATGGCAGGGTCCCAATGCCACCGCGCGCAGGGAGCGAATCATCGCAGCGCCAAAGGTTGTGATATCGGTGACGATGGCGGCGGCGTATCGGTATGCTTGAAGTATGGAGCTGCAGCCTCACTTCGCGGTGACGATGGTTGATGTGCTCTTTCTCGATCATCTCAGCACAAACTTGCACGCAAGATGGCGCGAGTCCTTATACCCAGCAGGGCCGAGATAGCGGCGCCGTTCCAGTCCAGAGCCGCCTTTCGAGAATGGGCACAGGCCCCCGAGGCGCCCGACGGCCAGGCGCGGATCGGCGACTCGCGATGGTCGAACAAAGATCTCGAGCCGACGCCGCCGCACCAGCGGACGTGGACGTGGTATAACCTGCCGCTGTATTGGTTCTCGAACATGTTTGGGACGACGGGGTGGAATGTGGCGTCTTCATTGGTAGCAGTGGGCTTGGTATGCCATCTTGAGTTCGAATCTGATGTGTCGGAGACGAGAGGAAACTAACGGACATCAGACATGGCAACAGGCCTTCATCTCGTGCGTCCTCGGCTCGCTCATCTCTGCGATCATCGTCACGGGCATGGCGCGGCCAGGCGCGATGTATCATCTGGGATAGTAAGTTGCCCATCCCACCAGATACACAGACCAAGATTCTGACGGCTTCTAGCCCCGTCCTCGCACGATCTGTGATGGGCATGTACGGCTCCTACTTCTTCGTCTTCATCCGCGCCATCGTCTGCATCATATGGTACGGCATCCAAACCTACTACGGCGCAAACCTCCTCTCCGTCTGCTTCCGGTGCATCTTCGGCAGCGGCTGGGACAACTTCGCCAACACCCTCCCCGCAGGCGCCGACGTCACTTCCAAACAGCTACTAGCCTTCTTCATCGTCTGGCTAGTCGAGTTCCCCTTCGTACGCTGCCCCCTTCCCACCCCCCTCATATCCAAACATAACTAACACCCCTCCAGACCTGGGTCCACCCCGCGCACATCCACTACATCTTCACCGTAAAAGGCTTCGTCATGCCCTTCGCCTGCTTCGGCCTCTTCGGCTGGTGCATGGCCCACGGCACCGGCATCTCCAACATCAACGCCGCCGCCCCCTCCACCACCGTGCCCCTCGGCTGGGCCGTCATGAACGGCATCAACGTCATCATGGGCTCCCTCTCGCCCATGCTCGTCAACCAGCCCGACCTCGCGCGCTACACCCGCCGCCCCTCCGACGCCGGCTGGCTGCAGGGCGCCTGTGTGCTCTTCGCGCAGAGCCTCGTCTTCTTCCTCGGGCTGGCCTCCACGACGTCCCTGCAGGGCGCCTGGGGCCAGGCCTACTGGAACCTGTGGGATTTGCTGGACGCGATTCTAGATCATTACTGGACGCCCGCGGGGAGGGCGGGCGTGTTCTTTGTGGCGTTCAGTTTTATCTTGAGCATGTTTGCGACGAACTTTGGCGCGAACTCGATCCCGTTTGGGGCGGACATGACGGGGCTGTTTCCGAGATATTTGACTATCCGGCGGGGCCAGATTGTGTGTGCGATTTTGGGAATTGTGGTTTTGCCGTGGAAGTTGATTGCGAATGCGTCGGCGTTTCTTTCGTTCTTGGGGAGTTATAACATCTTCATGGCTCCCCTCTGCGCTGTAAGTGCACACATTCATTCTTTTGAGAGAAACACCGCTGAAACGTCACAGATCATCATCTTCGACTACCTCATCGCCCGCCGCGGCAACATCCACGTCCCGTCCCTCTTCAACGGCTCCCCCACAGGCCTCTACTGGTTCAAAGCCGGCGTCAACTGGGTGGGCGTGTTCGCCTGGGTCGGCGGCACCGTGATGGGCCTGCCTGGGCTGGTCGGGCAATACCAGCCGCAGAGCGTCAGCCAGGCCGCGAAGAACATGTACAAGATGGGCTGGGTGCTGACGTTCTGCTCGTCGGCCATCATCTACATCGCCCTGATTCACGTCTTCAAGCCCAAGGTGTTCCCGGCGGGGTACGAGAAGGCGCCGCGGGAGTTTGAGTGGCTGGCCAAGGAGGGTCGCGATGGGTTCTTTGAGGGGGAGAGGGAGGGCGAGATCTATGCGCCGGCGTCGCCGCAGATTACGGATGGAGAGGAGGTGCAGGTTGGGGAGAAGGCGCAGAAGATGGAGGCTTGAGGGTTTTTGGTTGGAGCTGGTTTTATGTGCGACGTCTGATGACAGATATTTAGTAATGTCTCCTGGTTTTGACCTTTGTCGACAAGAATCGACAAAGTCCAAAAGTGTATTCTCACAATTTGTCCTTGCTATCTTAAGACTATGGTTGCCATCCCCTCGCCATCGTGACCCTCATCGGCGACATCCCCGACATCCCCGCAACCGCCGCTCAAAACCACCAATACGTTGCGTAATTCAGTGGACCCCATTCGGCTTATCACCCCTCAAAGAGCCGATACAGTGAGCGGCGTCCATCATTAATTCGGGCCAAAACTACCGACGTCTGTGTAATCCGTATCACACACTCTCTCTGGCAATGGAGGGGTCCGGAGTTATGTGTGTGTGCTGCGGGGAAGTGCACACCAACAAACCGCGGGTGGAATCCCGGCCGAGCGATAACGGCATTGCGGGGTCGTTTCTCCAACCTGTTGGAGACTTTCGAATTATTTGATAATGAACTCCAACTTCCCATCCTCTTTCTGAATGACATATTCCGGTAACATTATTAACGTTGTATTGATTCCTCTTTTTGTAATTTCGGCTTGTTGACACCGATACTTCGGTCACAGACGTGAACGGCCCGAACCGCGGATAGCTCTTCAACCGGAACACAAACCCCGCGCCGTGACTCGGATTGCCATCGTTTCAATCTGAACACATCCCGATCCCAATCGACAAACAGCATTCATATCACATCCAAGTCAAGATGGCAGTCGAACCGCACCGTCTCACAGCCACCGAGGTCCGCGCCAAGATCCAGGCCGGCGAGCTGACCGTCGAAGCCTACGCGCGCTCCCTCCTCGCCCACATCGAGAAGCGCGACCCGATCGTGAAGGCGTGGGAGTACCTCGACCCGGAGCAAGTCATTGCGCAAGCCAAGAAACTCGATGCAATCCCAAAAGACCAGCGCGGACCTCTCCACGGCGTCGCGGTCGCGGTCAAGGATGTCATCTACACTAAAGGCAAGTCATCCCCCATCCCAACTCTCGCGGAACAGGTTCTAACCTCATCACAGACATGCCCACCCAACACGGCTCAGTCCTCTACAAAGACTCCACTCCCCAAGTCGACGCCGCCTCCATCATCGTCCTCCGTGACGCCGGCGCCCTCCTCCTCGGTACCTCCCTCCCCCCCTTCCCCTCCCTGCCCATCTGCTAACCCTCCCAGGCAAAACAACCACAACCGAATTCGCCGCCACAGTCGCCGGCCCCAAAACAATAAACCCCCACACCGCGTCCTCCCCGCCCGTTCGCACCCCGGGCGGCTCCTCCTCCGGCTCCGGCGCCGCCGTCGCCGACTTCCAAGCCCCGCTCGCCCTCGGCACGCAAACCGGCGGGAGCACAATCCGCCCGGCCTCCTTCAACGGCATCTACGCCCTCAAACCCACCTGGAACGCCATCTCGCGCGAGGGCCAGAAGATCTACTCGCTCATCCTCGACACGCTCGGCCTCTTCGCGCGGAGCGTCGAGGACCTGCAGCTCCTCGCGGACGTCTTCGCCCTCGCCGACGACGAGACGCCCACCGAAACCTTCGATGTCAAGGGCGCGAAGATCGCGTTCCTGAAGACGATGGTCTGGCCGCACGTCGGGTCCGGCACGGAGGCCGCGCTGGGGAAGGCGGTGGAGCTGCTGAAGGCGCACGGGGCGGAGGTGCAGGAGATCGAGTTCGCGGCGGAGCTGGAGGAGCTGCCGGAGTGGCACGCTACAGTCCTCCACAGCGAGGGGCGCGTGAACTTTCTGCCGGAGTACCGCGTCGGCAAGGAGGAGTTACACGAGTTCCTGGTGGGCCATGTGGATAATGTGAACAAGATCTCGCGGGCGGCGCAGTTAGAGGCGTTTGATAATATTGGCGCGGCGAGGCCCAAGGTTGATAAGATGCTGGGGGCGTTTGATGCGGTGTTGGTGCCGAGCGCAGTTGACGAGGCGCCGGAGGGGCTAGGAAGTACGGGGAGTGCTGCGTTTAATGCGCCTTGGACGGTGAGTATCCGTTTTGCGTGGTTGGTGAAGATGTGTTTGCTGACGATGAGCAGGCTCTGCATGTTCCGGTGGTTAACCTCATTGGGTTTGGAGGACCGAATGGGATGCCCGTGGGTGTTTCGTTGGTGGCTCCGCGGTATCGTGATAGACATCTTCTGTCTGTGGCAAAGGCTGTTGGCAAGATTTTCGAGGCGGAGGGTGGTTGGAAGTCGCAGTTGTAGACCAAGAAGTGTAAATGCTTGTTTAAATTTGCCGGTAGATATCTTCTCAAAGTAGACCCGCGAGAGAAGCTGCTTACTGTTCGGGTGAATCATCCATTGCGTGTCACATCTTCACGTCAATAATACAAAGACAGTGAATAGAATCGCAGTAGCGCAGTATCATTACACTCAATAGGGTATAACATCTATCTATAACAAAGGACCGTCCCAAACAATGCCATTCCATATGATGCAATCCCAAGCTTTTCCCCTCCTTGCCACATATCATGCAGCATCATGTGTCATTATCGTCGTTCGAAGCTCTCGAAGCTTAAGCCCACTTGCCAAGCACACTCATGATGATCATGCCAGCAACCAGGCCCAGACCAGCCAGGATAGTGACGATGGGGCTAGTGTGAAGCAGCTCTGCGTGCCCGTGCATCCAGTCCTCAGCCCACATCTCCACGACACCGACCCAGACAAGAATACCAGCAGACAGAGCGTCGAGAGTACCAATGGCGATGATGGTGTTGCGGTCGTTACCGTTAAACTGCTGGAGGACGCCAATGCCGATGGCCATGCCGATAGGGGTGACGAGCGCGAAAGGGGTGGCGAGGATAAGCTTCTTGACGAGAGAGAATGTCGGGGCCTTGAGGGAGTTGAGGCTGTTGGGGGCTGAAGAGGTTTGTTCGACTTCGACAGCGGCGGGGCGGTCGTTCTTCTCCACGGGGGAGGCAGTGCCGAGCTGGGCGATGCGAGTGCCGAGCGCGATACCCTCAAACATCTGGTGGAAGAGAATGACGACGAAGAGGGTGATGAAGAACGTGTCACCGGCGACGACCAGAGTAATGCCAATGACTGGACGATGTTAGCTGAAGCTCATGATGGGATACAGGAATGCCTTACGGATGGAGTGGAAGATGATACCGCACTCGAGGACGAGAACGGTGACGGTCTCGGGAGAGAAGCGAGTTGCGGAGGTCGGGTTAGCAGCAACCTTGGCCATAACGAGGCGCTTGCCGAGATACTCGACCAGGAACGAAAGGAAGATGCCGGCCATGACGATGGCGGATGTGGTACCCTCGTATCCAAGCTCTCCCAGACACTCGTTGGCGAACATAAGTTGTGCGTGAGTGTATAGGTGGATAAAGGCAGTGGAGATGATGATACCTGTGCCAAACTGCTTGAGGATGAGGAAGATGGTGTGTGTCTTGGTCGGCATCCACTTGATCATGAAGATCGGGAAGTAAACACCAAAAGCGCTGGTGACCAAGATGACGAAGAGAAGACCGACGCGGAGAGGGATGTTGTAGTCGCGGGCGACCTTGGCGCAGTTTCTCGTGCCGCTGCTGCTCTCACTCTCGCCGGCTCCGACGCAGTGCTCAACACCGGCGTGAAAGTGGCAGTTCTCGCCCTGGGGAGTTTCGCTGTCGCTGCCACTGCCCGAGTCAGAGGACTCAGCACCCTCTGCTACAATCTCGACGTCGTCGCCGTTGGGAGCCATGCAATAAGTGTCGGTGCCGTGTGCGTGGCAGTCGGTGAATGCAGTCGGGATGGCGGAAGCGGCGGTGTTGGTGGGCGTCGTCATGACCTGGTACTCAGAGGTACCCCACATGCAGAAACTGAGGTTGTTAGCGATGTTGTTTTCAAGATGGAAGGTAGTCGACATACACAGTGACTCCATGGAGATGGCAGTCAGAGACAGCCGTGGGCATGCCAGTTGCGGCGGCGGCCGTCGTGGTAGCGGCAGTAGCAGCCGGGGCGTTGGCAGCCTCAACGAGAACCTCGCCATCGGGGTAGAAGCAGTATCTGGATCAAATGTGAGAACGTTGAGCGACGTGGTGGTGATGACGGCACCTACGTGTCGGTCGCATGCTTATGGCAGCCCGTGTAGGAGCTGGGCAGCGCGCCGGTAGGGGTTTCCGCGATGATGTACTCTGTGGTCCCAACCTTGCAAATCCTGCTGATTGTTAGATGCTGGCCATGGTATACGTGAAGCAGTCTGGCATCAACTTACTGGGTAGATGAGGTGACGGCGCAGTCTGAGATGGCCGAAGGGGCGGACGCCGCCGTGGTGGTCGCGGCGGCGGTGGTACTCGCAACCGTCTGTCGTGCGACTAGGGAGGCGGAAGCGGTGCTCAGAAGAGCCGCAAGGGCGGCAGCGGAGAACTTGGCCATGGCGATGGGCTTGAGACAGAACGCAAGCTGTGATACGGGCCGGGTCCGAGTTGACGTGCCTGGAGCTGTTCAGGTCCGGGGCTGAAGTATGCTGCAGAAGTCTCGGACAGGCGGCTGATCGGATGGTTCGCAGCCGGGTGCTTTATGGGAAGGAGGTCGGGATAGAGGTGGCCGGGGTGAAGCTGTGTTGGTTCCAAGCCGCGCTGGGAATGGGCACCTTGAGAGACGGCAGGTCGAATGACTGGTTGACCGAAGCAGGATGTGACGGGGGATCAGGCAACGAGAAGTCACAGAGCCGCGGGATGATTCCTCGAGAGGGTAGGGCGTAGGGTGAGGAAAGAGGAAGGATTGGACGAGGGACGGCTGGCGAGGGAGATTTTGGAGGGAGTTGTGGACGAGAGCGGCGAAAAAGCGACGATGAGCAGATTTGACGGTGGCCGAGGATGGCGAATGGGTCGTCGGTGTTTGGTACCTGTCGGCTGTCTGTCTGACTTGATGGCAGCCCTTGGACAAATCGGCCATTGTCCTGCCGCTGAGGATTCCCCTCCCTCTGTCTCTATCCCAACTCAATCAAAAGGCACATGCTCCCTTTTGGCAAAAGCAGTAAAGCCTCCGAGAAATGCTTGCTAGTTTCCATTGTGCCGTACCCACGAAGCAAGGGCCACGGGTGCCGCCAAACGGACGACATGTTTTCCGTTCCCGCATGTTCTGCGTGGGCTTTCAGCTGCGAGTAACAGCGCGCCAATCAAGGCCGACGCGATTTCGGGCTGGCAGTGAATCCAGTCCACCCCCAAGCCGGGAATCCATGTCGCTGGGCCGGGAAACGAGGGGCGGCGGTGGAAACGCGATGGAAAATGTGGGAAAGATGCAAAAAGGCAAAAGAGCAAAAAACAACGTAGTCCCAATGCCAAGGCTGATGCCAAGGCTGAGACCCGTTGCCAAGTTTGCGCACCCGGATGGCCGCCATGGGTCGGCAGGAAGGCAGGTGCACGCGGGAAGTCGCGATGTCTCTGGTCTGGAGTCGCTCTTTCCCACCTTCACAAGTGGTGTGTACAGCTGATTGGCTGCAGGAACGACCCGGCGAACCAGGATGCAGCAGCCGAGAATCCACATTAGCGGGTTGGCCAATGAGAAGAGCCACATCTACGTCAAGAGTGAGGACCTTGATGGCTTCGTCCTGACCGCAACCGCCTTCAACCACTCCTCTTCCTCTTCTCCTTTCTTCTCATTCTTCCACTCTGCTCAGGTCTCTCGTTGCGTTGTTTTCTGGCATCGACCTTGATGGCCAGCAGCTGCATGCCAAGAATACTAATAGGCAGGCGTTGTCCAGGAAAAAATCAGTCTGCTCCTCAATTCTCAGCTCACTGGTCGTCAACCAACACTGCCAAGACAAGCAGTGCACCCACCCGCCCGAATCCAACCTCGCGGTTCGCCATTTCCAACGCCTGCTTGACTTTCCGCATGAGGTTGCAATATTCCTTCGTATCCTGCGAGGAATCGGGCGTGACACATCAGACATGTTGGCCGTATGGGGACATGGAAGGAAGCATCTGCTGATGACAAGTGAGACAGATCTCCACATTTGAAGACCGACGAGCCAGCAAGGTGAGACTTCTCTGGTGTACCTCGGCCTGCCTGTTGCAGGGAATTGCACCTGGGGTCTCATCCATGATGATCCATCTTGCCTCCGTGATATTGGATTTTCTCCTGAACATGTCAGGAGTATGGTCGTGGCCACCACTTAGACACGCGCATCTGCAAGCCTCAACCGGATGGCGTTCCCCGGAGACGTACAATCTGAACCTTCAGCAGCGGTTACCAGCAGTTCGTGCGCCATTTGCAGCGTGACACGATAAACTTTCCGCCTGTCATGAGGTAAACCAAGTTGTCGGGTCGTGAAGCCTCTGTTCAAAGTGCGTCCGTCAGGCCAGTGGGGTTGCCATGCTGAACTTAGATGAGATTGTTCACTACTGGCAGCACATTTACCCGCAAGCAAGCTTTCAGCAAGTAGAGCCTCATGATGATTTCAATGATTCTCATTGATTCTATGGTACAATATTATCAATCCCCATCCGGAGACGAAAAAGAAACGTAAAAACGCCAGAGGCGAGCAGAAGCAGAGGTGATGATCCCCAATTTTTTGATATCCCAGTATGCCATGCCCCAATGCCCGTCATTCCCAAGTCATGTTCATGAGTCCGCGTAAACCTCCCGTCGTCAGGCAATTCTGCGCATCTTCAACTATTTGCTGGCTTAGATAGCCATGAGAGCGGCGGCAATGGCAGCAGCACCGAAGCCGACGCGGGCAGCACCGGCAGGGACGTCGGTAGAGGTGGCAGCAGCACCGCTGGCGGACGTGGAGGCGGCGCCGGTGCCGGTGGTAGCAGCGGTGGTGGTCGTGACCGTGGCGTTGCCAGCGCTGGTTGAGGCGGCCTCAGCGGGGCCCTCGCAGTGCCCTATGTGAATGTTAGAATGCATTTCGGAGGTCAACAATGGAGCTGGGGAGGACGGACAGTGAGATCCATGTGGCGAGCAGTTAGCTGACTCCGTAGGCGAAGGAGCAAGAGAACCGGTGCCAGAGGCATGGTCATCGTCGTCGTGATCGTGGTCCTCGGTGGCAGTGGCCGTGGTGGTGGCGGTGCTCAGGGTGGTAGCAGCGCCGGCACCGGTGGTAGCGCGGGCACCCTCGCAGTGCCACTAACCGAAGGTCAGCTTCAGATCATAATAAATAGTTGGAAGGGAGAGATTCACATGGTCCGAATGACTTTCGCAGCCATAACTCTCGGTAGGAGAGGGAGCGAGTGTGTAACTGCTGCTCTGAGCCATGGCGAAGGCGGAGAAGCCGAGGACGGCCAGGATCTGAGAAGTCTTCATGTTGACGGTGGTGCGGTGATGAACTTTGCGATGGAGATATCTTGGGAAACTTCGGGAGTTTGTGATGAACGAGTGGAAGAACGTTAGCCGTGGGTGAGAATGAAGAGAAATTAGAGCTGAAGGTGAGAGTCGGTAGGCAGGATATATACCGAGTGTCGGGCCAGTGACGCGCCGAGCCAACGATGCGGAAAAGCAGCAGGAGCAACAATCCAGGCAAACGGCAAGGGCTACAAAGCTACCTTACGTCTTGGCAAGAGGAAACAGAATTACTCAGGATCTCATTCACCGCATCCAAACGAACCACTCCTCCCATCTTTCAGCTCGCCAAGACATCGCAACGTGCTCACCCTCCACCGTCAACTTGGAAGACGCCAAAAGTGCCCTGTCCGCCAACAATCGGAGAGAGACAAACTAGGAAACAAAAAGTGAACAAGGGCACCCTCGCCTTGCCCCGCGGCGAGGTTCCGTTTGTTTTTTGCGCGCATGCCGGGGGTCGGGTTGGGCGTTGCCCAGGCGCGAGAGGGCGGGCCGGGCCATCAAGGTCCTCAAGACAGGCTACATGTAGGCTCCCCCACCAACATTCACCACGCCGGACTGTGTTCTGACATCCATGGATATGACCACCCGGGCATTGAAGTATCTGAGAAAAAGGCCGACTGAATGCATCCCGGAGGAATAACTGTATCGAGAAAGTGATTAAATGCCACCCGGTCATCATGCTCCAACACTTGAAAGTCATGGCATCTCTCAAGGTGAGTCGCCGGTGGCGGCATCTCCATCTGACCATTTTCACCCTACGCTCTATCCTCGTATCGAGAAGGCGGCAAAAAAAATGCCTCGTCAAAGTGGCGATCACTCGCCTCGAAACTTGGATTCACCTTCTCGGATGTTTCTCTTTTCGACTCGCCTGATCCGAAATGGAGCGAGTCCCCCGACGGGCAAGAGGAAGGATAGGCTCAATAAGGTACCTTGATCTGTGTTTCCATCACAATCCTACCTTGTGGTAGGTAGGCACAAATGTGTCTGTCGTAGATGGCAAGGGCAGAAATGCGGATTACCAGCAAGTAGACGACGTGGCCGAAATTAATACACACGCAGGCGACGAATGTGATATGGAGGAAACTTGAGAAATATCGATGAGTTTCGCTATCCGCGCGGATCCTGGTTTTACGACATCAGTGAGGATAGCAACGACGACAACGACGAGGACGACGACAACGACGAGGACGACGAGGACGACGAGGACGATGATAATAGCAACGAGGATAGAAATAAAGATAGTTGTACCTCTTGAGGGTTATATAGAAGATAGCCTGAATAATAAGAAAGTATATCAAGAGGGAAAGAAAGTTCAAAAACGAGACCATAGCCATGCTATTAGCTCAGGGGTAGGTTTCCGTCCGGCCCGGGGAAAGCATTCCCATGCTTGATCGGTACACCTTAGACTAGGACGTGATGGCAATGAGATGGCGATGAGATGGCTGGTCAGGTCAGGAGACAGACTGCAATCCAGCGCGCCAGATCACTGGAAAATCTACCGCCGTACGGTAAGCACTTCATGAAAGGTAAGAATTCCATGCCTGCGTACCTAGGCATTAACGTCTTTCTTTTCTTTCGCATCTAATCATCACAAGCGCGGGAAAGTTTCCATGTCAAATGCATACATTGCACACACTGGAAATGCAGTCTATGAAAACAAAATCTATCAAGAAGAACGAAAGCTGTTGAAGCCTTACGACAACCCGGGTTTAAGGAAACAGTCGACACCTCCACATGAATCCCAGCACATTGAATCTCCCCACCTTTTTCGAATCCCCATCGCGTTCGAGTTCGCCGCCCGCCGCTCCAATCACGCCCTCTAAGGCTTGAAGATGTTGATAACATCATACAGACGGAAGCCCGGGAAGTAGTAGCGGTTATCGTGCGCATACCGCGCATCAGGGACGCCCGCTCCGGAAGTCATATCACGGAAACCAAGTCTCAAGTCTCCCGGGGCAGGGTTCGTCCCGTCAATGGTCCAGTAGAAGACGGTCTTCTCGATGGCGAGATCGAAGAAGAAGTGCACGATGATAGCGATGCCGTTGATGGTCGCGCGGTAGCGATTGCCGGTGTCGGCGCCCAGCTTGATATTGAGCGTGCGCTTCTGCAGGTCGCGGAGGACGAGGTCCTTGTCGGCGGAGCTGAACTGCTCTGCGAGGGTCTCGATGGCGTGGACGTCGGTGACCTCCTTGCGCTCGACGAGGTTGGCGATTGAAGTGTCTGAGACAGGGGCAACGGAGTCTTTGACGAGCTCGATGGACTGTCCCGAGGGAGGGGATGGAAGCGTGGCGGCCTGGGCGAGAGCGGCCGCCTGCAGAACGACGGTAATGGTAGAGAAACGCATTTTGATAGGTATGCTTGGTTTGGAGTGAAAGAATGACTTGGAAAGTAACGAGAGACGATGTCAGAGAGTGAATTGGAAAGAATGACTGAAGTGAGAACGGTTGTGGGTGGTGATCCTAAGTCAATGCTATTCAGTAACCATCTCTCGGCTTTTATACACATTTGTCCTCGGCGAAGCCAGAACACCGAGGCATCTTTTCTCCTCCCTGTGTGGTCCGCGACGAGGTCCTTCAACGCTGCCCAGTGCAAATGAGTCAATCATTTCCCTTATTCATGATATTTTGGAAAATTAATATGTCTTGCCGTCAGCCTCGTCCAACGCAGTTACCATGTAACTGATCTAGGCCTAGTGATATTCATATTAGGTCAATGTGGAATAGTAATGGGCACTAGTAGTGCACGGAGAAAGAGATCCCAACGGCCACGACACCAAAGTCTCTCGGAGTAGTCCGCCAGCGTGTCCAACGCGAAACCAAAACTATTAGGAGTTCTGGCAGAGAGGTTGACTGAAGCCTAACGCCAGCCTCTTGAGCTTTGACAGCCTTGGATCTCGGATTAGCCCCTTCTCAATGCACACAGATACGTTGAGGCTCAAGCTTTGCCGCGAGTCGGATCTTGAATGGCTCATTGCCGCGAACAGCTTTATTTCAAAGTCGGCATCACCGAGAAATAAACCGGGTAGGCATTTCACAGACCGATTTCTGATCTAAGGACACTTAAGCTTCCGCCGATGTGGGGGTTGACAAGGAAGGACAATCTTTTTCTCGACGACAAGCCTTGACCAGCAGCTAGCGCTAGTCTCACAACTCGCCCCATTAAGGGTTTCGTGAAGCCGCTTATTCAAATCTGAGCGCCGGCAGCAGCCTCTTGACATGACACGTTGGGTTGCGAGTTAGACGCGAGGCCGCGATGCACGTGAGTTGCCGCCCCTACATGCAGCAGAGAACCCACAGCCCGTGTCGTCTGGAGAGATGAGACTCCTGACACGGATGTCTCCGAGCACGCTTCGTTGATCCCTAAGGGCTGTGATGCTTGCGCTATTATTCCTCGGTCCGAAGTGCAACTGGGCAGTCAATTGCATCAAGTAGCATCAGTCGGGAAATGGGTCTACGAGTCTCAGACAGATTTAGTAAGTCAACATATGTGGAGTCCCTTAAGGAGCAACATGCTCATCAGATAGATATATGGGGAGGAGTAGTCTATTCGAGGCCTCCGGTATGATATCTACACTTACAATCAGACCAGGTGTCTCGTTTTGGGATCCCAAAGCAGTATTCGCAGAGTGATGGGGTCCTGTGAGATCAATGTGAACCTAGAGCTAACCCTCTCAAATCCAGCAAACTAGGCACCGGGCGACGGAAAAAAAGTAACGGATCCTTACCTCATCCGCGAAAGGAAGATGGGAGCAACAGTTGTTAATCAAATCCTTTTATTGTGTCTTTGTTTTTTTGTTTTCTTTTTTTCTTCTTTTTTTTAAAAAAAAAATTGAAGATAAGACAAGAAACAACAAACATTTACTTTTAATACTGATCTTGTTTCTGGCTTCCTCATCGTCCTCGCGTTCGTATCTGTCGCTGCCATCGTCGTCGTTGCTACTGTCATGGTCGCTTCTTCACCAACATCACTCTGCAGCTAGTTACCAAAATACTCTCATCAACGTAACGTAACACTGAGGTATTGAAAGCCTCGAATACTGAATCAAGTGGATTTGTGATCAATTGAAGTCTTTTACAGAAGAGTTAATAATCCAATAATTATGGTTCTGAGGTTGATGATGTCCGATTGGAATTTTGAAAGTTGTGTTGATGTGTGGCTGGAAAGGTGGCGCAGTCCAGATTCGAGAGCGGCGGGGGTCATTGTCCTCCACTATCCGGATCATTCAGCACCGGCACCCGCATGCGCCGCACGCTAAGAGAACTTGCGCGGGGTCTATTCAGTCACAATCGTGTCTCGCTGGAACAATCAAACTGACCGAAATAGCAACAAATCTCATGAGCATCTTCATGAAAGGCTTGACCTGGAATCTTCACTCAGACTCGACTCACCACCTACTTCCACTCTACGCACTCATATGAGCAGACACCAAAAACTGTGAGTTTAACACGGACCATTGTCCGCGTCGCGTGCTGATTGGATTCTCGTCGCAGTCAGCAAAATGTCGAAACAGCGCTCTTGTGGCCCAGAAGGCGCAGGGAGTGACGTTCCATCACAGCAGCCCGCAGAAAAACAGGCAGACGGCGCAACTGGCTCTGAGAATGTGGGCGGCGAGACCAGCGACAACTTCTCATTTCGGGCTGAACCACCGCAACAACTTGAAAATACGCCACACGTCAGAGTCACGCCCGAAGACATCAGAAATGCTCGAATGGCGAACCCAAAAGTTAGCTCGTTAACGGATGACCAATTAAGAGCTTTCTTGGTTCGAATCAAACAGCGCCAGTGGAATGCAATAAACCGGCAGCAGTTGCAAAACCAAACAGAGAGAGACTGAAGTTAACATTCTTCGGCTAGCTTTTGATAGCGGGAACAGCAATATACATCCTCTTTGGAATAGTCTCCAATCTTGTAACTCTTCATAGATATTCCCAAACCCTCCCACTGCTCCTCATATCGTCCTCGCGATCAGGCACCACTGATATACCGCATTGAGAACACGTGCACCCGGAAACATACATACCCAATGATCAATAGAGTTTTTCTATCTGCGAGGGTACCTTTCGCTATATGCGCCAACTTTATAAGCTACTCATATTGTTGTTCTTACTTGCATTGTTACTATAATTGTTGTTATTGCTGTTGTTGTCGTCATTGTCTTCGTCATTGTTACGATTATCTGATCATCACTATCCATTCAAATAGCAAAAATCAATTGTAATAGATTGCTGTGACAAGTAGCCGGCTTCCCAGCTTTTGGTGAAGCGATACGTTTCTGGTTATCAAACTCATTGGACAGACGCACAGGTGAGGCATCGTTAAAAGACCTGGCCGTGCTGAAGAGCGTTTTACTCAATATCACAATGTGAGTTTCTTAGGTCTGATTGAATCAGACAACACGAGGAGCTAATCACATTTTGCGTCTATCGTTGCTCTTCGATAAGAACTTGACGAGACAATCCTAAACCAAAATCAGTCATCTTGCCACATCAGGACTAGACTCATGCGGCGTGATGACCAAGATTGTCAAGCCCACGTCACGGCATGATGAATCCCCGACGCGTCAAGGATCGTATCGCATCCTGCCAAAAGTTCCTCGCTTAATGTCAGGAACATTCAAAGTGCAAACAACATAAGATGATGGACTTCTTCCGCCAATTCGTCCGTGCGAACATCGAAATCGCCAATTCAACTGTTCTTCGACATGGGAAAGCGACCGATTGAGCCTGTGGTCAACAAGGCTCGACTGCCACGCATGCCAAAATGGCCAACTATTGCCATTGCTTGCACATTGGGAGTCGCGGTTGTCCAAATGGCCAGTCTCCCCTTCCTGCCCTGGGTGCCTGCACAAAATAATTTGGACGGCATCGCATCTTACCCCATGAATAAGTCGAATAACGACACCTATTTTGATTGGGAAGCGGTTTCACCATCAAGAGATTTGGAATACGTTCCTTGCTATGGAAGGTTTCAATGCGCTAGGCTCATTCTCCCAATGGACTGGACCGAACAAGAAGAAAACTGGCACACTCATGAAGTAGCCATCGCCATGATCAAACAGCCCGCTAATGTTTCCATTCTGGACCCCCGCTATGGAGGCGAGATCTTTCTCAACCCAGGTTCGTAATTGAATCTCACAACATTCTCCACCGCGCTAATAACTGCCAGGCGGCCCTGGAGTGCAGGGCGTGACCACGTTGACGGGCAGGCTCAACGATCACCTAGTCAATGCCATCAATAGCGAGGATCCAGATGGCAAGGTCTTTGACCTTGTTTCCTTCGATCCCCGAGGTGTCGGCTTTTCAACTCCACGCATCTCGTGCTTCGACGATCTTATAGCTCGCCAGCTCTGGCATCAACTCGGAACGGCGTATGGGGATGTATCGGTCCAGTCATTTGATCTTTTGTGGGCGCGAGCGCGATCCCTGGAGAAGCTCTGCAATGCGGGGAATGCCAGCTCAGAAAAGGCTCTTTTCATGAGCACCGTCAGCACAGCCTTTGTGGCGCGTGACCTACTGGCGATGGTGGAAAAGAGTGGTGAAGCAAGAGAACAGAGGGCCCAAGAAGCGCTGATGACGCTTCACGGTGGAGGCAAAGATTTCATGGTGCCAGAGTCTCTTCAATACCAACCAGGCGAGGAGCTTTTGCAATATTGGGTACGTTCACTCACTATCCAACTTTACTCTTCGGCTTGAAAAGATTGTTTAACACTCTCACAGGGCTTTAGTTATGGAACTTTCCTAGGCGGAACCTTCGCCAGCCTGTATCCATCACGAGTTGGGAGGATGATAGTAGACGGTTGTGGCGAATGGGAAGATGAGGCTTCCGGAGAGTTCCTAGGCTTCCTGCTTGACACGGACAACGAATGGTCTGAGTTCTTCAGACTTTGCTATGCAGTAGGGCCTGATAAATGCGCGATATACAATGAAGATGGCCCCAAGGCCATGCAGAAGTCTGTCGCCGACCTGTTGGAGACCCTGCAGACCAATCCAATATCTGTCTACGAGGACGGTATGCCTTTTCCGGATATCTTTACCAGGGATATTCTGGTTCAAGGCATATTTGGGGCACTTTACCGACCGTATAGAGATAGCACATGGGTCAAGCTGGCGGAGACACTCTCGGCTCTCTTGAATGGTACTGTCCCCTCCGGAGCGGTCGATATGCTGCCGTCCCGCAAATTTCATATTCCAGTGGATGGGTGCAAGACCTCGGATTGTGTCACTGAAGGGATGAGCGAAGGCTTCTGGAGCGAAATCACTTACGGCATTTATTGCACCGACGGGCTCGACTTCCGCAACATCTCCAAGTCGGAGATGGCTGCTTGGGTTAGCATCCTCCAGCAACAAAGTCCGTTATTCGGCAACATGTTCGCCACTACTTCGAAGCTGCCTTGTGTTGGGTATCCGGCCCGACCGAAGTGGCGCTTTGGGGGCCCCTTCGGCGGCAAAACCAAAACCCCAATGCTATTTATCGGCAACACCTTTGATCCCGTGGCACCGCTTGAGGGCACCCGCAAGAACGTCAAAAGTTTCGAAGGCGCAAGATTGTTGCAGCAAGATTCTGTGGGACATTGCTCCATCAACGCTCCAAGCAAATGCACCGTGTCTTACGTTCGGAAGTATCTCGTTTCTGGCGAGTTACCCGAGGAAGGTACTATCTGTTCTGTGGACGGTTCTCCATTCGACGAGAACATGTAGATATTTCCGGTCGTTGGTCGTTCACAGCACGTCCTATGTCTTGATCTTTAGGCTACTCAATCGTTCGGTGTAATTGTAAACTATGTGCAAGAATGCTAGGTAGGAGAAGAGCAATCTCAGTCACATCGTGCCTCCCGTCAAGGAACAACCTCAGAACTTCGAAGGCGTATTGATGAGAAATGCCATTCAACTGTTATCTCCCGGTCAAAGAAGATTAGAGGCACTGTGAGTACCACTGGTTCGAAGCGGTGCAGGTCGATCCCGACTCGCAGCAGGTGGCCCCAGTCCAACCAGAGCCGCCACACTGGCTCCATTTGGCAGCGCACTGAAAGAAACAGGCATTAGCAACACGCAAATCATGAGACTACCATCGGGAGGCTTACGCTTCCACCACCGCCACTGGGTGGAGGGTTGCTGGTGGAAGGCGGGCTGGTACTGCCGCCATCAGAGCCAACAGTGATTGACGCAGAGCCACTGCTGAAGTAGCCCTCCGTCGCAACAATCTGGTAGTCATGGGTACCGAGGTTCAATCCGACAGCAACCCAGGCGTTGAAGTGTGTCCCGGTGTTGACAGTGCCGCCGGTTCGCTTGCTCTGGCGGACAGACCAGTACTGCTGAAAGGTCTTGGTGCCCTCGATGGACGGGGCGTTGGTTCGAGTGCTAACGTAGATGTCATAGGTTCCGCCGTCGCTGGTGACGGAGCCCTTCCTTGTAGCGCCGGAGGAGGGGTTGTAGGTTCCTGCAGTATAGATTAGCGATGTGACCAGTGAAAGGCTCGATGGAAGAGCGTATGTCGCAGTCGGCGGGTGGCTTCTTACCAAAGTTCTCGACAATGTAATACTTCGAGCCGTTAGCTAACAGATCCCAAGAGCTGCTACTTCAGGAATGTTACCTCAATCAAAGGGTTTCTTGTCCAACCATAGACGGCGAGGTAACTGTTACCGTTGGGGCTGTAGGTTCCCGAGTAGGTAATGGTTCTAGATGTTTGACAATGTCAGGATGTGTGCTCTTTGGAAAGCTTAAGACAACATACCTCGCACTGCCCGGGTTCCATCCCTTTCCACCGACGAAATTTCCACCAGTCTGCCAAACAACAGAGTACGAGCCCCCGGCTCCATTGGTGTACGTCACTTGTGAGCCACCATCAGTCCACCAAGAGTAGTAGTATCCATTGTGAGTTCCGGTTGAGCTTGGTGTAGATTGACGCTTGATCAGGTCTCCAGGGAGAGCAAAGACTCCAACGGCGGTGGTAAGAGCCACCAAGAGAGCGGAGAAAGAGACCATGTTAAAGAGTGCGCGCGGAAGTTTGCGTGGTTGAACAATGATTCGGTGTTTTCGGGGGAGGGGCTTCTCGCCTTTATATTTTCTCAATCCTATGTGAAGATGCCCTCAAACTTGGCATTTTCCACGATGTTGTGGCGTCTGACAAGGCCGCTTTCGTGTAACTCTCGGTGCTGAATGTGAAGCAGCTGCCTATGAGAGAAGGTGGAAGGAATCCTGATGCGCCACTTCATTTGGTTATACCATTCTGTTGGCTGCAGCTGGAAGTTTGGTTTAAGGATGTGTGGTTGCTTGGGTTGCATTATTTGAAGCATTGTGACCTTGAACATTCAGCCGGTACCTGGTCCTTGGCACGGAGCTGTTATGAAGGCTGGTGCTAGTGATCCATCGATGTGATCTATCTGGAGACCTGTTCTGAACACGACATAATCAATTACATCTACTTGCATTTCGTACCTTCGCTATAATTTGTCGTGATGTCGCTCACTCACGATCAGGTACCGTAGCCTCGACATCAGTCTAGAAAACCTATACATAGCTGATGAATATAGGCGATTTTGACGAATCATCACTATACAGATGGCGTTCCACATCCGTCTGTCCGTGATCAATGTGGCTGGCAACGACGGAGACGAGCCGCCAAAAGAAATTCGGAGGTTCCATCCCGCATAAGACTACCGATTTCTCCACACTTGAGCACACGTGCGACGACCAAAAGTTTGGTTCGTACGAATTTAGCCGCCGGTAGAATGCATAGAAGGTAGGATTCTCGCCATTTCCTAGTCTTTCCCTTCGGGTTCGCGATTGCCTCACATATGGCAAATACCCGGCCCGGGCCACGCGACCATATAATAACTCGCGTGGCGCTCTTGGCATTTCCTCGTCTTCTCGGGTCCTGGCCAGACCTTTCGGTCTTTTCGCAGACTTCCAAGCATGTCTTAATTGCGAGGATTCCCAAGAAAGCTTTAGCTGACGCTATCAACTGAGGGGGCATTCGTACCTCAGAGGCGTCAGTCCCCAATTACTCAGCAATGATGAGCGCTTGTCGACCTTCAGCCGCTGACTGGTTTCTTTGTGGTACTTCGTCGAGACAAGTCTCAAGATGACAGCGCCTTATCTTCCAAGGTCAGCCGAGGCAGCCGGCCATTACGGGAACAAAGGTGGGTCAGGCTCCGACCCGCGAACCGCAGCAGGCGGTGGTGGCCTATCATAACGCAAGGCATCATCAACAATCAGAGGGCACTCATCTTAATGTCTACAAGCAGTACTTTTGTGCATAGGAATGCTATATAAGGACGTTGTGAATTCATCAGCCAGGAATATAGAGCAGTCCTTCTGACTTCCGAGTGATTCAGCAACAGGCAGAGAAATACTTGCCTACGCTATATGTCACAGGCGATTTCGCATATACTTCTGTGTTTTCTCCCCTACGTACAAGCAGACATTCCCAACACAAGATTACCATGAAATCTACGCTAATCGGAGCTTCATTAATCAAACAATTCGTCATCCAAAGCTTCTGCTCATTTTTAACTCATAATCACATTAGACAATTCTGCTACCTTGGACCCTCAATACCACGCCAGCTTACATGCACATGTATTTCATCGGCATTAGGTTTCCGACAATTGAAGACTCGAATTTTTCGACAAACGCCATGGAGGAGATTCGTACTTGGCATCGGCATTAGGTTTCCGATAAAGACTAGAATCTTCATGATGAACGCCATTGAGAAGACCAAGCACTGGATATCGGCATGTTGCCTGGCTTTGCAAGCTTCCGACCCCATCTACTCATATACAGGGAAGCCAACCCGTCTCGGTTGACGGGACACGGATATATCCCTTCATCGGAAAACAAAATTTCAAAGCAGGTGAAAATCCCCGAAATGGTGACTTATGACGAAAGCCGTCTCGGGGTTCTCTGTTTCACATCTACAGATGGCAGCTGATTCCGGTAGCTGAGCTGAGTACCGGATTATTTTTGCCTTCCTGGGCGCGTTTACTGATCGAATAATGTGAAGCTGCCGGCTAACCGTGTGTCGTAGTCTCTTTTGGGTAACTGAAGTGCGAGCGCAACTGGTCGTTACGGAATCCATGCCTAAGCTGGTCAAGGTAGGCAGTAAATGCGCGACGCTAAGAGCAATGACTCGGGTCACCAGCCCGTAGAAGTCGCAACTCAGTGGGGAAACCAGTAAATGTGCCATTTCCCCAGATGAACCCCTGCTAATTTACCCCGCGATCACTTGCTTGATCTCCGCCAACCTTACCCGGCTTACCCCCACGAATCCATTCTCACGTCTCCCGCACATCCACAGTTGCAGAAAGAACATCATGATGGCCCTGTCTCTGTCCAGTCAGAGCCTACATTTTGTCAATCCGGTGGGTCTGCCATGGACTTCAGGAGAGCCTCCTCAAGGCTGTTGGTATATGCTGGGCCAATCATAAACTCAGAATATGGTTCGGACTTGTGCATCAAGACTGCCGTCCACCGGGTTTCTCCCCGCCCGCTAGCGTCAGCTTGACATTGCGTATTTGCCCTGTTATTGACAAGATGAACCTTGCTGCCGAAGACTTGAACCTGAAAGACATGAGAACATGCCATCCGGTCGGACTACATAAGAAGCTCGGACATCTCACCCTCTTATCAGGAATCGCTTCTCACCAACCTCACAACCCATTCAGTCCATTTCTACCACCCACTCTTACTTCCACCTCTTGTTTACACCTGCGATCATCAGTCGTTCAACATGGGTGTTGTCAACAAAGACGACGAGCCCCCCAGCCCAGGGGTCCAACACATCGAACAAGATGCTGCTGTCGCCGACGCAATCAAGGCTGTTGAGCATCGTGATCTTGAGCGTATTGAAGAGACTCAGCCTGGTGCTTTCGTTTGGCTCTGCGCCGCAGCAACTGCCATTGGCGGCATGCTCTTTGGTTATGACACGGGTGTCATCTCTGGAGTTCTGGTCGTCATCGGAACAGATCTGGGTGGGAAAGAGCTCACTCATTCCGAGAAGGAGCTTGTCACCGCGTTGACTGCCGCTGGTGCTCTTCTAGGAGCAATCTTTGCTGGTCTCACGGCAGACAAGCTCGGCCGAAAACCCTCTATCTGGTTCGCCAGTGTTCTGTTTACGCTCGGAGCTGTGATTCAATCAGCGGCCTTCTCTGTCGCCCAGATGGCCGTAGGACGTCTTGTTATTGGTCTTGGGGTTGGCTCAGCATCTATGGTATGTCTTACTTCTGTTATCGACTGATAAAGTAAACCACCTGACAACGGTCTTCTTCAGATCGTGCCACTATACATCGCCGAGATATCACCTGCAAGGTTCCGAGGTCGTATGATTTCAGTCGACATGATCTTCCTCGGGAGCGGCTCGGTGCTTGCTTATGCCTTCGATGCCGCCTTCTACAAGACACCTCATGGATGGCGATATATGATAGCAATCGGAGGTATTCCTTCTATCGTGCTAGGAATTCTCCTCTTCTGGTGCCCCGAGTCCCCTCGTCAGTTGATGTTCCACGGAAAGCGAGAAGAGTGCGTTCGTGTCCTCCGAAGAATCTACCCCAACGGGACTGAAGACGAAATTGCCGATAAAATGACTTCCATCGAACGTGGGGTTAACCAAGCTAAAGCCCTTAATGAGGAGATTTCTCTTCGGAAGTCTCTCACAAGTATTTTCACTATCCCAGCCAATTTGAGGGCAGCTATTTGCGCTTGCGGACTGATGCTATTCCAACAGTTTTGCGGTTTTAACACGTTGGTCAGTACCCTATTGGTCACTTCGATGCACCGAGAAGCTAACAAGAAGGTAGATGTACTACTCCAGTACTCTGTTTCAGATTGTGGGCTTCTCCAACCCCATTGCGGTTGGCACCGTTGTAGCCGGAACGAACTGGATCTTCACCGTTCTATCTATCTTCCTTATCGATCGAGTTGGACGTCGCAGACTCCTGCTCTGGACAATGTGGGGAATGCCTGTTTGCCTAGCCATCGCAGCCATCGCTTTCCACTGGATTCCTCTGGACCTCAACACTTTGGAGCTCAAGACCCAGGAAGTCGGTTGGCCAGCAATTCTTGTTTTGGTCTCAATGATCATGTTCGTGGCGTTTTACGCCGCTGGCTTGGGCTGTGTTCCTTGGCAGGCCAACGAGTTCCTCCCTATGGAGGTTCGAGCGAGTGGCACAATGATGATCAAGTAAGCTTCCATGATGACCATGTATCAAACCTTGCGCTGACGGCTGTATAGCATTTTCAACTGGGGACCAAACATTATTGTCTCTTCAACATTCCTGTCTATGATGCGAGGCATGACACCATCTGGCACCTTCGGGTTTTACGCTGGCCTGTCATTCCTCGGCTGGGTGTTTGTGATTTTCTGCTTCCCTGAAGCTGCCAATATGACCTTGGAGGAGATTCGTGTTGTCTTTGAGCATGGCTTCGGTGTCAGATATGCTGAGGAGTGGAGGAAGCAGAGGAAGCTGGACTTGCAGACAAGAAGGGAGGAGGCCAACGTTTAGATACTGTTAGCAACTATTTTATTTTCAAATCAACGCCCTTTCAAAGGTTCATTTAGCACAAGAAACTTTCTCTTTGAAATTTCGCTACGAAATAATGAAGATGGTGTCGCAGAAGGCGGCAAGACCCTAAGGGTCTATTTGCTTTTTACTGAAGCTTGAAATCCCTCAGATCATTGGTTTGCGACTCAGTAATGTGTCGGGTGTACTCAACCAATCCGCCCAAGAAATTGAGCATTTCTGTTCATTCGTGTCAGCGTCTACCCTTTTGGAACATTGATGTCGAGGGAGTTGCTTACCTTTGGGTTTTCCGGGGATGTTGGTACCCATGTACTCAGACTGGGTCTGTGGCAAGAGGGTGGCGTCTCCAATGTTGTTAACAAGTTGTCTCCAAGCTTGTTCAGCCTCCTGATTAGGTTCGATACAAGTCTTGCCGTGCTCGCGCAGGAAAACCAACGTATCCCGAATCCAATTGCCCTGGAGCTCTGCGCAAGTAGGCCCATTGCAGAAAGACGTAGGCCCTTGCGGCCCGTAGATGAAGAAGGCGTTTGGAAATTCCGATGTCATCATCCCGAGATGAGTGGTAGTGCCCTTGGCCCATTTCTCCTTCAAAGATTGCCCCTTCGTGCCCTTAATGTCGATGGCGAGAATGCCTCCAGTCACCGAGTCGAAACCAGTTGCGAGGATGAGGACGTCAAACTTGCGGAGCTCTCCATCAGCAGTGAAGACGCCGTCCGGAACAACCTCGGCGATGGGGTTTGTCTTGGTGTCAATCAAGGTGGCATTGTCGCGATTGTAGACTTCGTAGTACCGCTGTTCAAGGGTAGCCCGTTTGGTTCCAAAATAGTACGGCGGCTTTGCTGGCGCCAGCAGGTCTTGCATCTCTGGCTTGTGCACCCTCTCCAAAACCTTGCTGCGCCAGAACTCATACGCATGCTGGTTTGCTTCCTTGTTTCTGATGACATCTTGGTAGGTGCCGAGCCAAAACGAAAGTCCACCCTTGGCCCAAATCTTCTCGAAGAATGCCTGCCGTTCATCCGCCGTAGCATCAGCACAGATCGCGGGGTTGAATTCGAAGTCGAGGCCTGCGAAGGTCTTCTTACGAAGATCGTAAAGAGCCTGGTAGGTCTCATTTTTCTGGTCTTCTTCGGAAAGAGGCGTTTGGTGCATTGGAAGGGCATAAGTAGGGCTGCGTTGGAAGACTGTCAGATGTTCAACCTCAGGAGCAATCTCCTGGATGACCTGAAGTCCACTGGAGCCGTTTCCGACGATGCCAACTCGTTTGCCCTTGAAGTCAATGCCTCCCTGAGGCCACTTGGAGGTGTGGCAGCATATGCCGGCGAACGAATCCAACCCCTTGATGTCCGGAATGTTCGGCTTCGCCGCAAATCCGGTGCAAAGGATGAAGTATCGAGATCTAAACACAGTCTGGCCCTTGGTAACAATGGTCCACTGGTTCTCGCTTTGGTCGAATTCAGCACTGACGACTCGAGTATTGAATCGCACATCCTTCTTAAGATGGAGCTTGGATTCGACGTGGTTGAAGTAGTTGCGGATCTCATCGCGACCTGGATACTTCTCGGACCAAGTCCACGGTCTCCAGATTTCCTCCTCTGAGAACTCGTACAGAGGAACTGGCGTGTCGACACGAGCTCCGGCATAGCAATTCCAGTACCAGACACCGCCTAGATCGGCCGCGTCATCAAGAACGAGCGTCTTGAAGCCGGCTTTGCGCAGCTGGTCAAGGGCGTAACATCCGGCAAAGCCAGCACCCACGATGATCGCGTCGTACTCGGGAGAAGGGAGAGAACCCATTGTGAGATTTTCAGGTTGGATGGGAAAGAGAAGAAGAATTCGTAAAAATTGGTTGTTGATTGTAAATCTAATGGTTTAAGACGAGGGAAAGAAGTTGACCGCTGGAGTCCTTATAGTACCTAGGTTAGTCCTCGATTCCTTCATACGGTCAGGCATCTCTCTTATTAGTGTGATTTGGTACATCATAGGCTTCACAGCGATCCAACCGTTAACCAGCCCCTTCTCCTTGATTCCACGCCATCGTGAATATGAATACGTGTACACGGACGGACCATTTAGGTTTCGAGCATGGTTGATGGCGAAAATCAAGGATAAAAGTTTAAAGCTGGTTGTCCAACCATGAAGGAAACAAGGACATGGCCCGTTGTGACGATGCCGGTCTGCAGTATGTTGACGGCGCTGCTGTTTTCTCGGTGCGATTTCCACTAAAAAATTGTGGCTCTACCATGGCTTCAAGAAAATGGCGGATGCAATGAGCGGCAGGCACTGCGCGGCATTTGGAAATTCGTCCGGATCAGGGGCAATTGCCCCAAATCAGTCCGAGACCCAGTATCAGCCCATATGTAAGGACCAATCATCATTCTAAAGATCCACGACTGAGTGGATGCGAGCAGGGTGGCGACCTCTTTGAAGAATCTCACTATGTCCATTTCTATTCCGGTTCAGATGTCTTCAAATCTTCGGCTTTGGTTCAAATGACGTCAAAGGACATTTCAAACTATTGGATGTGGTTCGCAAGATGGCAGGATGCTGATATTAATGTTGAAGCGTTCAGCAATACCCTGTTTTACGCTGTCTCAGGGGTGCAAAGAAGAGGGCCGATGCCTGTGCCCGTGTGACTGGCGCCGGGGATAGCCCCACGACGGGCCGGTGAAAACCCACCTGTCTACGTTTCGTGGAGTTGGACATGGCTGGGCTCTTGACTTCATTCCTGAACCAGCCCGGCCTTCTGACTGTAATCACCTCTATCATGGCATTGAATCTAGGTGACCGTGAAGAGCCGGGGAATTCACCCACTGGCACCGTACATGAAGTCGAACTATCGGATCTCAGCTGCAGATCTTGCAAAAGGTGTGGCCCCACCCTGCTATCGTGACTTAGGGAGCGTCCATGTGCTGATCAGGTCTGACTGGCCCGCAGAAAGAAAGCCAAATGGTGAGTTGCTGATTCGAAAACGGCACAGGCTTATGTATACTAATGGCGGTTTGCAGCGACCGTTCTTTGCCTCGTTGCCTGCTTTGCGAAAAGACTTCTCACGCATGCATCTACCCGTCTACGCGCCTGAAGCCGGGACCTAAGCTAGGTATGGTCACCGTTCTAAAGTGCCTGTCTTCTATTAAGAACTGACAAATGCGTAAAAAGGCTCACGGAATCGCAAGCGCCGAACAACTTCCGAAGACGCCGTCCACATCAACCTGGGTACACCGGTGGTTCCCTGTCAAGGCACACCAACGGAGCAATTCATCAACCCACCTGCAGTAGTTGAGTCGCAGAGTTTCGACCCTCCTGCCAAAGCTTGGAGGCACCAAAATGGCTTCTTGCTATCCCGATCCACGGGCCAAGACGAGAACATACGCCCCGGCTCCTCCCATATTTCTGACACCAGATTCGTCCGCGCCATCAGCCTCTCTGCCCTAGTCCACCCTTCTCATGAAGCAAACGTGACACCTCTTTCGAGGGGTCCCTCACCGACAAATGGCGATTTCTTCGTTAGACTTGCGGAGACCCAGAACGTCCTCATGCAAGTCTGCGAGTCACTGGGGTTATCAGTTGAGTCACTGCAACTGCTGTGCGTCATGTAAATCGTTAACTATTCGTTCAGGTTCCGGCTTGCTGACAATGCTCTTAGCACTAATCTGTATTTCGAATATATGACAGCATTCTCTCTTTTCCATCAACCATCTTTTGGAGACAAGATTCAGGCCATCCCAAAGACTCTTCATCTGAGCGCTTTGATGTCGGCGATATTCTCCATTTCTGCACGCTTCACTGATGACGAGACTTTACCTCTCGCTGAAGCACAGTGTAGCTTATCTCACGCATATTTCCATGGCCTGGCTAGGGAACTCATTGATCAAGCTATCGACGAGTGTGACGACGATCCACCACCACTCTGTCTTCTTCAAGCATTGATATTGTGCACCTTTTATGAACTCACGAGGGGGGTCCGTGGTCGTGCATGGCGGATGGTAGGCACATGTGTTAGGGTGGCATATGAACTCAGACTTCATCTGGTTGACAGCATGGCACCAACAACCCCGCCGTCAACCACTGCAGACTTGAATTAGTGGTCAGATATGGAAGAAAGACGGCGCAGCTGGTGGGCCATCTGGGAAATGGACGTATTTGCATCAACAGTGCGCCGCTGCCCCACTGCCATTGGCCAGGATATCAACGAAACGTATCTTCCTATACCCGATGATATCTGGTTCAAGAATACATATCAGTCAAGCTGCTTACTTGACCCCAACCCGACGGAGAGATCGAGAAAGCTGGCTTTGTCGGGTAATGATAGCAGCGCTGCATGGTTTATCACTATCAACTCCATCATGCGGAATGCGCAGGTATTAGCCCAAGGCAACCTGCATAGTATACTTTCGGACCTTGCGCCGGGAGACGACTTTCACTCTCTCAAGCGATACTTTCACGGGTCCTTTCGCAGAAGACAATCCGCTGAAGACACCCGACAACTGTCTATGTTGCTGAAGGCTCTCCAGCAAACCGTTGCTGACTTGCCGCAACAGCTTGCTTACAAGGGTACTCAACTTGGTTTTGGGTCTTCGACACCTTCGTTCGCAAGCAACAAAACTCAAGCAGTTTCTGATAGAAAGTTGGATGCCGCGCAACATTCAATCTTTCTCGCAACCCAGCTGGCGCGGTTCGTGATTTATCATCATTATGCTTTCAGTGAGGTATTGCTTGGTACGATGTTCTCAGAATCCGGGAGTTCTTCCCCATCTTTAGGTTGGACTGCCACACCTAGAGATCCAAATGAGAGGCTTTCTCACTCGGAAGGGCTACGTAACTGCCTCGAGGCATCTGATGACATTTACGCCATTATCTGTCGCTCATCAGATACACACATCAAATGGACCAGCCCCTTCTTAGCGAGCACGGTATGGCTTGCGGCTTCTCTACAGATTCTACGCAAGGGCTTCGCTCCGTCAATCTGCGATGAATTGTCTGGGCAGAAGATTGTGTTGCTTCGTAAGACGTACCAGAGTTATACGGATGTATGGGATACCCCGCAAAGTCTATTACAAAACCTAGACTCATTAGAGCAACGATTGATGCGAAAGAAATTGGAGATGGCTGCTATGGAAGCGCAACATACGACGAATTCCACGTCCGGTGAACGGACGCATCAAGCTGCCTGGATGTCATCGCACGAAAACATCTGCAGTTCGTCTGCTGATCAGGGGACAATGGGACTCGGCATGCTGTCATTGTCACCTCAGGATGATCCCAGAATGTCTGCTTCGAGTCAAGACGGGAACATTGACCACCTGGCTTTTGCGAATGATCCGTACGGAAACTTGCAAACACCGAATTTGAACACGTCAGATGGCTTCAACGGATTCTCTGAAGCTGATCAAGAGTTGAGCTTTTTCATATCGTCACTGATTGGATAGAAATAATGTCTGGCACTTAAACCCTCTACACACTTCTTCAGTCTATGGCACTAAATGAGTGGTGATTTATTGTATCGCCGACGCTCTGAAGTCACCATTTGAGCGCGACTCCTCTTTGCAGACTTCTTTTTCTTGGTCCCATGGTCGTTTAGTCATCATCATCTTGAGGGAATATAGAGACCAGGCTTCAACAGACTTTCGAATGCCTCTTCTGCGTGCTTCTCTGCATCGAACTCAAGAATCCAGTCTTCCCTCGGCAGTGCAATACTCTGCGGGTTCTCCTTGACCTTGTTCCAATCCGTCTTGTGCCAAAGATCGCGGGTTGACAGTCCGGTTTGCTGCACCGCTTTCACACGCTCATACCTTTTCCTTGTGTATTAGCTTCGGTGATCACCCTTGGCACAATGGGCGCATGACTTACCGCATCTCTTGGTACGTCTTGAGAGCTGTTGAAATCTTGTCTTTGCCAGCGCGTCTCAAGCAGATGGCGATCGTTACACCGTCCTCCATTGCTTGCGTAGCTCCTTGGACACTCGTTGGAAGAAATGGATGCACCGCATCTCCGAGTAGTGCAATTCTGCCGTCGCTACTGACCCAGTTCGGCAAGGCATCCCGGTAGACCAGCTTCCAGTCAACCAGTGACGGGGTCTTCTCTACAATCACCTTGCAAAGCGGGTCCCAACCTTCCAGCGCTTTGAACACATCCTCCAGCTTCCCAGGGAGCGACCACGACTCGTCAATATCGTACTCGTCTTTGTGTGTCAGCACCCAAGAGGCGTCTTTGCCGCCTTTGATAGTCGAGAACAGGAAGTGGGCGTCCGGTCCGATCCAACCGTTGAATGTGTCGCCATTCTCGCAGAACTCCCTTGTTCTAGGGTCTGCGAGCAGGGCGTCGGCAGAGAACCTAAGAAAGTGGATCAGCGTACTTGATCACTTGCTCCAACGAGACTATGGCTTGCCACGCCCGCCATACGGCGTAGCCACTGCTAACTGGCTTTTCCTTGTGTTTTAGGACAAGCTCCCTCGCTTTAGACCGAACACCGTCGGCTGCAATCACTACATCGGCATCGATCTGAACTATCAGTCAGCAAAGCAGATTCATCATCCCCATGGCAATTATTGATCCCGCTGGAGTTAGGGAGTCTTTCAACGAACCTTCCTGCCGTCCTGAAGTTGAATACCAGCGCCGCCTTGGCTTTCAAAGTAATCAACAACCGGCTCTCCCAGATGAATGGGGATCTTCAACTCGTCTCGCGCGTAATTGAAAACCACCTCATGAAGCTCGCCTCTGTGGCCATTCAGAACCGGCGCCTCGGGATCGGGAGGTGGTCTTCTCTGAGTCAAGACTACTTCTCCAGTATCCCACTTGTGGATCCTAAAGCCGTAGCTTTCAAGGTTTATGCTCAAGGGACGCAGCCTTGAAACGACATCGCCATTGGACCACCGATGAAAGATCCGACCGGCATTTGGTCCAAAGGAGATGATGTCTCCGAGTTGCTTCAGTTCCGGGAACGATTCGTAAATCACGACATCGTGACCTTGCCGGTGACACTCGATTGCTGCGGTCAAGCCACCGAAGCCAGCACCGACGATAATTACTTTGATCCCGCTGCTGTGCCTTGGTGGGGTAGACATGATGAAAGACTTCTGACTCCAAACGAGTAAGGATGCTTAGGAGAGATGGGAAGTTGATGCCGAGGAAGTCCGGACTTTCATATGGTGCTGTAAATCAAGACAGTATCGACATTCAAGTGACCTCGGGTGATGAAGGGAATTTTGTCACAAACTTTGCCAACCGGAAAAGAAGAAAAGCATCTGCCGCGAAACACGATTTATCCCCAAACATCTGCCGTGGGGTCCCTTCTCGAGACGTTGCACCCCGCGTTTAACAATTTACCCCACATGAGCCGGCCCTTTGCTCTGATAATGTCTTCCGGCCATTATTCGAACGGCTACCCGCGTCGTGGAGGCGCTTGCCTGCATCCATGGCAAGCTTGTTGGCGCTTGCCAGCCAGTCACTCTGCCGTGCCACGTCTTGGGTGCGATGCAACATCATCACCTGTCCCCATGCTAGCTGCACTGATCCCTGCCTGTCTTTGTCGGTTCTCCGCGTGGGTCTAAAGCCACCATGCTACCCTCCGCACTTTTGAAAGCTCTGAATAAGCACACGGGTCGAGGCAGCGGAAGGTAAAATGACAGAAAGGCCCGAAATACGACGCCAGGGGTCGCGATGGCGGCAGTCTGCCGTGTTGGCGTTTTCTTAAGTAGTTCGACGCCCCTTGGGAACGACGTCTCCCCACATTCGGCTTCCAAAGTTGTCCTCCTTCTCCGTCTGAACTTTCGCTCTCCACATTGCAACTCGTGCTGAAATGAGAGAACGCCGTCCTGATGGCATTCGTGCCAATTGGAGGTGTTTCGTTGCGTGCGGAATGGTAGTGCTATCTCCATTCCAGTATGGAGTTGATTTTGGAATCATCGGTGGCTTACAGGCCATGCCTGGGTTTCTTCAGGTGTGTATTTCGACCATTGTTTACTACAGCCCTCGGCGAATCACTGACATGGTTTTGAATGACAGGTCTACGGTTACGAAGACCCCAAAACAACCATCGGATGGAACATTTCCACCACCCGCCAGCAGTTGATATCATCTCTCATGACCCTCGGCGCTTTCATCAGCTCCATGCTCGCAGGAGCAATCGCCTCGAGCTTGAGTCGAAAGATGTGTTTATGGCTATCCTGTGTACTCTGCGTAGTGGCCAACGTCATTATGATGACGACAACACACATTGGAGCGCTCTACATTGGTCGCCTGCTCATCGGCTTGGGCAATGGTGGCTTCATGACGTTTTCGCAGCTTTACATCCAAGAGACCAGCCCGGCAAAGTATCGTGGACTATTCATGACCGGCTTTCAGTTTTGTGTTACGATTGTGAGGATCCTTCTTTGATTCATACCAACAGAGACTGATTTACTTTCTAGGGAACTCTCCTCGGTACGATCATAGATTGGGCAACCGCCCAACGCCCCGACAAGTCGGCATATCTGATACCCTTAGGAGTGGTATATGCTGTTCCTGTTGTCATCGCTGCAAGCCTCTTCTTCATCCCCGAGTCGCCCCGATGGCTTATCATGAGAGATCGGATTGAAGAAGGGAGGAAGGCTCTGGTGTGGCTAAGACCTACCGGTGTTGATGTTGACGACGAGGTCAACGAGATACGAGGTGCAGTGCTTGAGGATTTTGAGACGAAGAAGTCGGTGACATTCTGGGACATGTTCAAAGATCCAATCGACAGGAGAAGGACGATCATTTCCATCTGCGCAGTATGCTTACAAGGTGCTTCAGGTTCAATGTTCATCATTGGTAAGTGCCAGCTTAGTCAAAACATCTCGTAAAAAAAGACTAACACACCCAAGCGTACAAGGCATATTTCTTCACCATCGCCAGAGTCGAGCACCCTTTCGCCATGACCAACGTTTTGTCAACATGTGGTCTTCTAGCAATCATTGCAAACGCACTGGTCGTGGTGCGCTACGGTCGTCGTCGGGTCTTCCTCCTGAGTGGCCTTATTCTATCCGGCTGCTTTCAGCTGATCATGGCAATCACGTTTGACAAGCACCCGAACACAGTCTCGACTGGGAACCTGCTGGTAGCGATATCGTGCTTATTCATGATAGCCTACAACGTAAGCTCCATTATGTTCTTTATGCCCTTCATTACTAATATAAACTGCTCCAGGGGATGATTGCGCCGTACTCCTGGATGGTCGCCGGCGAAGCTCCGTCTCAACGCCTGCGTAGCTACACTTTGGGCGTCGCGTCAGCTGCTGGGTATTTCCTCGCCTGGCTGATAACGTTCACTGCACCGTATTTTATCAACCCAAGCGCTCTCAATTGGGGCCCGAGATATGGATATATCTGGTTCCCTTCATGCATCATCTCGGCTGTTTGGACGTATTTCTACATCCCAGAGCTTAAGGGCAGAACACTGGAGGAAATTAACCAGATGGTACGAGCCCATTCCTGCCAGCCGCATGAAAATTCGTTTTTTTCCTAATCACCACGGTCTTTTAGTTCCATGCACGCTTGTCGGCCAGAAAGTTCCGTCAGTTCCAAAGCGCCACCATATCACGGAAGACCAGCCAGTCCAAGGCGGACTTCGAAGGTATCAAAGTCGAAATGCTCGACAGGGCATGATCTGTGCAACATAAGATCGGCAGGCAAAGTGTCTGATGCATAGGGCGCTGCTGCTTTGAAGGAGTCAGGGTGGTGACTTGGCCGACCAACTTTGAAGCCCAAAGGAAATCATAGTGATTGTGAAATTCCAGAAAAGAAAAAAGAATTCTGAATTGTTGCTTTGGTCAATTTCCTCCCCGTTCCGAGCATCGATGTGTCGCAAGATCCTCCGGAGCATGCCCCATATTGGTGAGAGTTTGCTAACTCGTGGAAGCTTGAAAAAGGTTCGTTGGAATGCAAGCCGTCATCCCTCTCGCAACCTCGGCCCACATTGATTTCGCACTCAAGTGCTTTCCCCCTCCAACATCCATCCTCAATTGAGCTCGTACGTCTGACCGACGCAACATTTTACTGTCGGTTAGACAAGCGGGAGACCGAGATCTAATCATCGCGTCCCCCACACTTATCATCTTGGCGCTGTGTTACCCCTCCCGCTGCACCTGCAGCGAACCGCATCTAGAGTCGGATTGAAAGCAGGGTTTCGTCATCACGCCATGCTCAGCGGTGATGATCAATACAACAGCCGCCGATAACGCACAACACAACGCGATAATAACCGACTGGGTCCCAACTCGCTCGAGAAATTTCCCCGGGTTCACGCTGCTCGCTCAGGTTCAATTCATTCCGGGTCCGCATCATGAAAGCCCTCACGCTCGCCAGCGTTATCCTCTCGTTAGCGGGTTCACCGGCCCGAGCTGCATCGTACACCGAAACCCTTCTCGCGCTGCACAAGTCCCTCGTCGAGGTCGACTCAACCTCCAATGCCGAAGCGCCCGGAACGGACGTCCTGAAGACGTACCTCGAGAACAACTTCACCGTCGAATTGCAGACTGTCACTGCTGGCCGCCAGAACGTCTACGCGTACTCTGGTAGCTCCCGCGAGGCTCGCGTTCTGCTCACCTCACATTACGACACCGTGCCGCCGTGCATTCCATACTCTCGCAATGGCGACGAGATCCGGGGCCGCGGAACGTCCGATGCCAAGGGCAGCATCGCTGCTCAGGTCACCGCCGTGGAAGACCTTCTCGCGAGCGGTGAGATCAGCGAAGGAGATGTCTCCCTCCTGTTCGTAGTCGGAGAGGAGGTCGGCGGCGACGGGATGAAGGCGGCCAACAACCTCAACCTAACCTGGGAGGCCGTGGTCTTTGGCGAACCGACGGAGAACCAGCTTGTACGGGCCCACAAGGGTGTCCTCGGGCTCAACGTCACGGCTTCTGGAATTGCTGGACATTCTGGATATCCCGAGCAAGGCCGTAACGCGATTGATCTTCTCGTGCGCTCTTTGGGGGCAATCATCGGCGCCGAGTTGCCGTCGTCCGAGGAATTTGGCAACACGACCTTGAACGTCGGTGTGATCGAGGGCGGGATCGCGAGCAACGTCATCCCGGAGAATGCTACTGCGAGAGCGTCAATTCGGGTTGCCGTCGATGACATTGATAGCATCAAGGACGTGATCAGCAAAGCAGCGTATGCCGCTACGCCAGAACATGTCAGCCTCTCTTTCAACATAGGCGGGAAGCCTGTCAGCTTGGACTATGATGTTGAAGGTAAGTTGCAACTATGTCAACACATGACTGGATAATCCGCTAACATTTTCAGGCTTCAACACAACTATTGCGAATTATTACACGGACGTTCCGTATCTTGAAGGCGATCATAAGAAATATTTGTATGGTCCCGGCACCATTCTTGTGGCGCATTCGAATGATGAGCGAATCACTGTCGCGGACTTGGAAGATGCTGTTGAAGGATACAAGAAGCTCATTCTTGAGTCTTTGAAATAGAGAAGTCTAGGATGCGTTGGGTTCAAGTTCGTGGCATCCATCGTAATAATAACACAATTGCATAACTGCATTACTGTGCATGCACTACTCTCTACGAGGACGGAAGCTTTGACGGTTGTCCTCCGTGTAGAACGTTGACCGTTGCCTGGACCGTTGCCCCTTCTTGGCATCCGTTTCACCGCGGCTGACGTCACCACACGTGATCCGACACGTACCACCCCACCACCCCGCACCTCAGCTCGGTCGGTGCAGCTCAGTCAGCTCAGCTCACACACTCAGCACGCAGGAGCTCACCCCGGCTGCCTCACAGCTCTGCCTCACCAGCGCGAAGTACAAGTTGGGCATAGCACGCCAGCCCCTTTCGCTGCGACATCACCCGCCGGACCACCACCGACCGTCCTTACCACATTCCCTTCTTTTCCGACTGCAGCCATGTCTCCCATCCCTGACGTCGTCTTCGAGAAGATCGACAAGTACGTCGACTCGCTCGCGCCCCAGATCCAACCCCGCATCACCTCCGAGCTCGAGATTTTCCAGAACAAGACCATCGACAGCCTCGAAGACCAGGTCATTGACGCCTTCCGCTCGCTCTTCAACAAGGACAAGGATCCCAGCGGCGCCCGGAGCTTAAATGACTCGCCTCCGGACTCCTACGGCGGCCAGTCCCTGCCCTTCGCCGATGAGATCGCAAAGCTCACCCAGAGCTTCAGCAAGATCACCGATGGCGCCGGAGATGATCTGAGGGAGATTTTCGACTTGACCGAAGGCCGGGGGGGACGAGGAGGAGGTGAGACCCAGTCCCGTGGCATCGACCACACCGATTCGTTCTCTCGCGGTGCAAAGGGCTTCCTCTCGGCTGCCATCAACGCGGTGCAGGACCACATCGGAGACGACAGGCAGGGCGGAGGAAACAAGTTCGAGCTCGATGGACTTCTCGGAGTGCTAAGCAACACGGTCAAGGATGCCGCCCGCAACCCCGAGGAGAAGGCCCGCCTCATCAGCCCCGAGATCAAGGAAAAGGTCGGCGCGAAGCTGAGGGACCAGCATGCGCCCATCGCCGAGCAGTTCACCCGCATCGCACTGGACCACATCAAGCGCTGGCTTCGCGGCAACACGAGCACGCGAGACCTCGGCGATGGCATGAAGGGTGAAGTCGAGGACCAAGTGAAGGACCTGGTCAAGGGCATCGGTGGTTTGTTCGGTAAGAAGCACTCCTCTGGCGAGAGTGCCTCCCGAGGCCTAGGTGACCGCGACGGTGATGAAGGCGGAAGCGGAAGCGGCTTCTCCAGGGTCATCAGCGACAAGCTGAGCACAGGTCTTGCGAAGGTTCACAGAGAGGTCCGTCTGGAGTTCCGCAACATCCTCGGAGGTATCGAGAAGCAGCTCTTCGAGCTGCTGCCCGACCAGTTCCAGCGGCCATTGGAGAAGATCCTTGGCGGCAACCCCTTCGACTCACAGCTCGACCGCGAGGCTGGAGGCTCGACAGACCGTGGCTTCGGAGACGACATCAAGGTGAAGCTGGTGAGCAAGATCCGCGGCCTGATCCGCAAAGTTCAGGAGACGCTGCGTGAGAGCATCTTGGGCGTCGTCAACGGAGGTCATCGCAAGTTCGAGCGCGAGAGCTGGGTGTTCGTGCAGAACATGGTCGAGACCAAGGTGCAGAAGTATCTTCCTAATGTGAAGATCAACGTGCCGGATGACATCGGAAACGAGGGTGTTAGCGTCGGATCACCGAACGTGCAGCTTGGTGGCGGCAACCAGCCCGTTCCTCCTGCGCAGGGCAACTACCCTCCTCCCCCCTCGCACCACGAGTCGGGTGGCCAGCAGCAGGGATACAACCCCGGCAACTACCAGCAGCAGCAACACCAAGAATACCGGCCCGATCAGTACCAACAGCAGCAGCATCAGGAGTACCGCCCTGACCAGTATCAGCAGCACCAGGGATACCAATCCGAGCAGCACCACTCCGGTCAGCAGAACTACGGAGGCCAGAGTCAGGGACATGGAGGAAACCAGAGCTACGGAGGAAACCAGGGCTACTATGGCGGCAACCAAGGATACGACCAGAACCAAGGCCATGGCCAGAACCCAGATTACGGACAGAACCCTCGGTACTAGAATGACTAGGGCTATGAAAATGGTGACGGCGACGAGGATTGATACCTGTAGGCGGAATTAAGCATGTTTCATTAGCAAGTTTAACTTCTATGAATAACGATGAACGAGCAATTATGAGCTCCATTGGTGTGGACCTTTGACTTATTTCGTGACGCCTGCTTTCTCCAACGCTTCCTCCGTCTTCTTCTCCAGCTGGATCCCAACGAGTACATCAAGAAGCCTCACAAACTTCCCCCTAACATCTTCAACGCTTTTCGCCAACTCCTGCGCCCCATCTCCCTCCTCAATCAACCCAAACTTGACCGCAACCTCCAACGCCCTCTGATCAGCATACGGAAATACCTCTTCCCAATCGCCCTGCACCCGCCTCAAAAAGATCCCCGCCCCCGTCGGCCCAACCCCCTTAATCCCATCCGTCAAGATCTTCTCGACCTTTTTCTGCGCCTCCTCCACACTCTTCAAGCCCTTGACCTGCGCTCGTAGTCCCTCCATCTGCTCCACACTCCCATCCTCCTCTCCCTCACCACAAATCCCCCTTGCACCATCCACAAGATCCCCCAGCTGCGCCGCCGACTTCTCCTTATGCTGCGTCCGCGCCTCCCACATCACCTTCCTTCTCCCCTCGAATCCCGCCTCATCCACATCCTTGAGCGTGCGTAGCCCAAACGGCTCGTTCAGCAGCGTGTTGATCGTGCGCAGGCCCAAGCGGTGCGAGATGGGCTTGCTGAGCAACAGCGCGGCGACGAGGTTCTGGAAAGGCGTGAGGCTGGAGTCCGGGTACGTAAGCAGCGGCAGCTCTTCATCATCATCCTTGGGCTTCTTCTTTCCGGCGTCTTCGGGGGGAGGCGTCTTTTGAGGTTGTGTGGTGGAGTCCCAGTCGACCTCGCCGTGGCCAGGGGCCAGGGAGGGGAAGGCGAGGGAGAAGGCTTCGTCGCTTAGGAGCCATTCTATGGTGTCCTTGGAGTCTGGGGATTTCTTTGGCTTTTTGGTGTCTGGTTCAGAGGCTGAGGTGTCTTTTTTGACGTCGGTTTCGGAGGCTTTACGCTTGGTGCCAGGTTCAGGGGACGCGGCTTCGGCGTCTGGGGACTCATCCTTTGTGGTCTTTTTCGGGGTCATAGTGAGTTGGAACGCGAATATTGTACTTGGAGATGAGAAAAAATTAGTTGTGAGCATCAACTTGGGTGAGGCAGGAAAACTCATATATGCTTCGTTTTCCATTGATGGAGTTGAGGTGAAAGCCGCATGATGTCATGGATCGAGGCGGTCTGTGTGCATGGCAGAACTGAGCGTGTAACGTCATAGCACGACGGTGCGCTAGAAGGAAAAGAAAAGATTAGCGTGAGTTCCTGATTTGGAAAGACTCTTTACATGGTTCTTGAGGAAAGACCTATGGGTCACGGCACCTTCCAATGTGTCAAGAAATCAACCGGGCATCAATTGCAACGCTAGAGTCATCACGATGCTAAAGCAAGGTAATTCAAAAGCAAGACGATGAGAAAATAGAAATCCAGATGACGAAGATCCAAGACGACGAAGACCGAGGACGACGAAAAGACAACGAGTCAAACGCAAGGATGCGAGAAAATTCTGTTCTTTTTTTCTCGAGTAGCCATAATTTCCTAGTGCTCGTTCCCGCCGGATCAAAACCTCATCCCGTGACAATCATCCCAAGCTGTGCCCAGAAAGAGCCATCCCAGACGTGCCTGCCTCCCCAACGCGTAAACCCAAGTTTCCTCCGCGGTAATCAGATCTCAGCCTCGGCAGCACCGTCACCAGCCTCCTGCTTGACGGGCTCCTCCAGCTGAACAGCCTCATCGTCAACGTCCTCCTCAACCTTGGCCTTGGCCTTTGCCTTGCTGACGCGGGGCTTCTTCTTGGACGGAGTCTCCTGCTCCTGGGCGTCGCCTTCCTCTTCGTCGGAGGGCGCCTTCTTCTTGGGGGTGCGCTTGCCGCGGGGCTTCTTTGCCGGGGTGGTGCCGGGGGTGCCAGCCTCGTCGTCGCCAGCGGCACTAGCACTGCCGCCGAACCAGCCGTGCTTGGCGATGGCGTTGGAGACGCGCTTGCGAACGCTGCTGCCCGAGGCGGAGCCAATCTCCTCGGCGATCTTGTCGGCGTCGTAGGTGGGACGGGGGAGTTGCTTGATGATTGCGACCAGGAGCTGGATCTCGCCCTCGGAGTAGCCGTGGGAAGGGGCGGCGGAGGCGCCGGCTTCGTCGGTGGAGGTGTTCTTCTTGGGAGGCATGGTGGCTGGTAAATGTTAGTGTTAGTGTGTGAGATAAAGAATGAGTGAGACGTGAAGAAAAGATAGGCCGTTCATACTGACTATTGGAAGCGATAGGTTGTTGTGTAAGAGTTGTACAGGTAAAGCGAGATGCAAAATGGTGGTAGATTGTGAGTTGTTGGGGAGAAGAAGAAGTCGAGTTGGACGGTGTCAGTTGGGCGGATATTTGTAGTTGATTGAGAAGGAGGGAAGAGACAGATAGATATGGGAAGAGATTCGAGCCTTCTTCATTCGATTCGGACCCTTAGGGACGACAGTGGAAGCCTGAGGTTGGCTTTTGTCGACAAGACGGTGCTCGAGAGAAACGCCAGGCTACCTCTTGCTACTTGTTCGTTCCAATTAATTCGCTTTAAGAGAGGCTCTGGCGTTTCTGATGCATTGCCGACCATTCTTGATGAAATTACGTGCAAAAACGTCAGTTAGCAGCTCTCACGCCCTGCTTCCTGCTTTATTGCCTACTCACGTGAGATCATGACTGACGCACAAGTGAACCTTTGTGAGAATGCAAAAGATTTGATTTTCACATCAAAGCCGTTTAAAGATTTGGGAATGTTCAAGACATCTGATCCTTCATTCAATATTATTAGTTCATCAAGTTCGTTCAACTACCTAGAAACTAACGTGAGCAATCATAGGACTCACCTAATTGAACATTGAAAGGGAGTGCCTAGGGACGTTGGGAATCATCTATGAAACACTTAGACCATACTTGGAGAAACCCAGGCTAAACGAAAGGACAGACAAAGGAGTCGAAAAATACAAGGTAAAGAAGGTATAAAGACATTGTGACAGGCAGACCTGCCTGGAACTCTAGGCAACCATCCGTCTAAATCCTGGTTGGTGAGGAAATCAACGCCGATCTCAACCCTGGGGCTCAAGACAGAGCTGTCAGTGCGACTTACGGACAGCGGGTACTGTGAAAGCCATGTTGTGTCATTCTAGATTATTTTTCTCGCCAGGTAGTAAGCAATCTGAGCATGGAACCGCCAAGCAAGATCAATGCCCATTGCGTGATTAAGAATGAGTGTGAAACACACAACTCGAGTTGCAAGGCATCCGTTATGATCATACTACAGCTGAGCAAGGTCTCATCAGCTACTTTCATTATTGAAGCAGTTTTTAGAGAAGAGGGGATCCGACTTATATTCACTGTAATGAAGACTGTTGCTGTGTTCTTGGCCTTCGGCGGCGCCATGAACGCTCTGTTTTGGAAAAGCTACACCAGCTCGAGAACCTGATCTTGTACCACAAACCTTTGTTCAGACTTCGACGCCGCAGCTTCAAAGCACGTCAACGATCTCGACCCATTGGACCGATACAGGGCCTCTGAGTCCATACTCTTTCGCCGGATTGGCCTGGAAAAAACTAGCACCCGCCACGGAAGCAGCAACACCAAACGTCATGATGTTGTCCTGCTCCGCTCTTATACGATTGTACAGCGTTGAAGCAACTTCACCTTGACCACATTCTCGGCGCCTGCAGGGTTCAGGTAGTTCGTGATATCCACCACTACATCAAGCTAGCTGTTGACGTCAAAGATTACTCTGTCGCCATTCACCCATAGTAACGTGGCGTCAGTGATGGTGCCTAGATGAAGATGGGCGCCCAAGCGCTGTTTTTCAACGGATGAGAAAGGGGTTCGGAAGGTGGTAACGTAGTCTGCCGTGCCGCTTGTGTTGCCTAAATTCACGGGGTCCATGTCCTTCCACGAAGCGAGCCGGCTATCGAGGAACCGGTGCGGGGTGATCGCGGTTTCCATGGAGAAGACGTCGTCCTCGCTGCGCCAGTCATTGACTGTGATGTTCCACGCGTCGAGCTCTGTTACTTCTGGGAGCTGAGAGGCAGTGAAGATTAGGGTTTGGCCGGTGACGAGGGAGACTGTTGCGGTGCCGGGTGCGAGGTGTGCTGTGATGCGGGTGCTGTTCGTCGCGGTGGTTGTGTTAACATCTTGGGTGGCAGTGTAGACGAGGGCTTTGAGGGGGCCCGAGATGGATGTTATGTGAGTACTTGGTGGACGAGGCAGGATAGACGTGCCGTTTTTATCACCTGAAGTTGAGGTCTGGTTGGAGAAGACAAGAATGGCGGTCTGATTTGCAGCAAGCGTGACCGGCACCACGATGTTATTCTCCTCGATGGTGTACTGTAGAAGCGGCGATACCGTCCCAGTTCAGGCGTCAAAGGTGTAAGGCGTCCTGCCAGCCATATCGAGGAAGCTGATAATGTCTGTCGTGGTGTTTCCGCCGTCATTGTAAAGGAACGCAATTTGCGCATTTTCTGTGCTCCGCGAGAACGAATACCACGTCTCAACAGCGTCTTCATGCGGAAACAAAACCCGAGGCCGGATATTGAGGGCAGCAAGAGCAGCAGGTAACTCCTCCGCGGAAGCAAGCACAGCAACACTCTCCATTGCAAGAGCCTGTGCCATCATCTCTGAAACAGAAGCGGCTCCATCGACACCAACACTCTGGAAGTCCGTTCTTCCAATCACAAAGATCGGCAGCCCTGCTTCCGCGAATGCCTTTGTTTGCGCCGCCATCTCCGGCGTCAACTTTGTCTGATTGGCAAAGATAAGGGCTTTATACGCTGGTCCATCCGGCGCGAGGACACCCCCCTCGCCGACGATGGTGTTTGAGGAAGAGAAGCTCGCAGGTCCGAGGTAGTCGTACATGAAACCCAACTTTTCAAGTTTATAACTGTCATAGACGACCTTGGCGAACGGTGCCGCGTACTGATAGAACGCAAGATCGACCCTCGCGGTACCGATTTGGCTGATAAACTGGTTCCTTGCAACATACGCCATCGCATCCGCCATGAACCCTGCGCCGTTCTCCCCGTTGTGTCGACTCCTCCAAGCCGGCATCCTCGGCCCCCACATGTCCGTATACCCAGGCCACGTCGTCTGTGCGTAGACGCCCGAGTAGGCGTACCCGTGGAAGACGTTCATGCTCGCTGGATGAGGAAGGGGAGGCAGGTTGCGATGTCGTATCCTCTTTGTGTGCGAAAGCTGTCGGCGAAGTCGTGCGCCCACCAGAGGGCTGTGTCCATTTCCATGCTGTCTTCCCAGGCTGGAATGTTCAGATGTTAGCAACAGCTTCTGGCTTTTATGGGGTTGAAGTCCACATGCCATATTTCCCCACGCGAGCGAGGAGCTTTTTATCTTCCTCTTCAGGGATGATATACTCGTCAAAGAAGTCCGTCAACTTCTTCGCCCCCGCGGCGCTGAAGTGGTCTGTGACCCAGGACCCGTTCTGCAACCACGACACAGCGTCGGGCGCGGCGTCGATGGAGCGCTGTTTGGTGTAGCGTGTGTACCATGCCATTATACTCCTTGTGTTCTGGGAGTCTTTGGGCGGTGTCCATAAGACTAATCTCGTGGATTTTTCGACTGAGGCGGTGATGTCTATGACGCGGCCAAGGTTGACGGCGGTGGATGAAGCGTTTGATGCGGTTGTTTGTTCGACGGCTAGAACGAAGGACAAATTCTGCTGCCCAAATTCCTCGCAGGGGTGCATGAAGAGGTGCAGAGAAGGGCTCGCAGGCTGGGTTGAGAGTGGGAGGCTGCCGTTGAATGCGTGGCCTGGCATGACTGTGACGTTGACATATGCCTATCAAAGCAGCGTAAGTCTTGCCGACTCCCCATATGCCATGAAGTCACAAAAGATGGTCCAGAATACAAATTGTGAAAAGTGTGTGAAGAAACACCAAAAGCAACACTCACCAACTCCAGCGCTAGCCCAACGCTCCCCGGCTCCGAGGGCACGCCCTGCCCCTGGTTCGCGCCAATTGAAAAGTCGAAGAGGTCATTATTTGCAGCCGCTTGCATCGCCGTGCGGAAGACGGCGCGAGACGCGTTGATGCCGTAGCCGTAGGTGGACCAGTTTGCTGAGGGCGAGCGGATCTGGTAGTAGGGTAGAAAGTCAACGCCGCTGGCGCCGACGGAGGCTATTTCGGCCACGTCGCGTGTGACTGCTTCGATGTCGACTTCGGCATCAGGGAGTCTTTGGCATAATGAGCTTTGGATATGCTTAAGGGAGCTGGGCTAGGCAGACAGGTCTTACCAATCTCTGAACTTGGGGCGGTAGATATTCGGAGGGGAGGCGAAGTCGTCGAGGCTTTGGGCTTTAGATATCGTTGATAATGACGCGGCGAGCGCGGCGACAGCTCCTAGACCGCGCATTATGCCTTCTTGTGGGAGTGAAGGTCCGTGGGAACGTTGACTGTTGTCTACTACCAGTTTTGGGGGGGCTTCAGCTCGCTCTTATTAAGGGCGCCGTTAACCAAAAGTGTGGATTGTGGACCGCATGTTTGCCCTCTTCGGATATACTCCTTCAGCAAGACCATGCTGGCCATCATGAAGATACGAGACTGTGGCGCAATCATCTTAATAGTGTCGATCTACAGTCGTATGCGAGATCTCTGGAGCATATTACCACTTTTTTACTAGCAGAGTTGTAGGACATCATCGTTAGCCGTAGTTGCACTGTGGCTTCTTCCTCCGCACTACATGCCGGCAGTCGTCCCCGTCGACATAGGCCGAGATCATCCCTGCGGCGGCCGGCGATGGAATGGCGATGACTAGGTCGTTCTGTTGGCTGAGGTGTTTGTCTACAAATCTACTTCTATTTCGATTCATCATCCTGTCGTCCTCCTCCACCATCCACTTCTGACCGTCGGGGAGCCAACACATCTCAATACAGGGCTGGACTCAAAAGTTTCAGGCACCGCGAGGGTCACCGTGTAGGCTTTAAGTAGAGCGACCGACTTAGCATGCAATTTAAGCTACCAAAAAATCTTCAAGCCTAGGTTCGGAGTGAGAGGCCGATAATGACACGACGCTCGATGGAGGAGAAACAACGCTCTGACCAGTGGCCAGAAGGAAGATTTTGTGTTCTTCTTCCCTATTCCATATTGTGGCCAGAAGGAAGCAGATATGATTCAGTGCATCAACCGGTGCGGGCGACAGCTACATGGCTCCCCCCAGGATCAACTCGCCCCGTGCGCTCCGCCGGGTGCGGGAAATATGACAGAAGTGAAGCGGACTAGGGCGGCGCGGAGTGGAGTGCGGGGAACTCATCCGGACATTTGGCATGGGCGGAGTACGAGCGTATCAGAACGCTGAAGTTAACATCATGAGTTCAACCCATACCTGTCTCCTTTTCAAAAACTCTCAGGCGTTGGTCGACATCCCTGATGAACTGACGATAGGGTTAAGCCTCTGATTCCGAGTCCATCTACCCATGACAATTGATCGAGGCCGGCCCCGAGGAGTGAGTTGTGGCCTGGGGAAAACAAACTTTGAACGCGCAAGCAAGCGGGCTACTTGCATCCGATCTTTTAGCCTATATAGATAGATGGCCGCTGTTACCGAACAATTTGTAGACTGCATTAGCAATCGACGATGATAAGTTCCAGAACATGTTGTTGATCAAAAGATTTTCCGCCCAAACAGCACAGGCTCGTGTGCTGTACCTGTGCTGTCTCAGTTGCGTCGTTGTTTTGGTGTTTTTCTTCAGTTACAGCTTGTTCCCACACCTTCACTTGCGCGCTCTCCACATCGCAGGCAGCCAGTCAAAGACCGCACCCGACTTCCTAGCTCCATTCGTTCCCGAGGGTTTAGGACGACCCGCTGAAGATAACCTGTTATTTACCAGACCCGGCGGAGGTTCAAAGTCAAGGCCGAATGGAAAAGGCCAACCGACATACGCCATTATCGTGCCCACTTACGTGCGTCTCATGAACCCCCGTCATATGGTACGCGCTTGTGCAATGGGTGCTGATCAGTTGTGAAACAGACAAAACACCTACCCTACGTCGTCGACTTCCTCCAGTCTTATATGTGCCTCTGCACCGACCACCAAGAAGTCGATATCCACCTCATCGTGTCCGATTCTAAGGAGTTAGAGGCTTTCCAAGATGCTATTGATGGCCTAAAACATTGCGGCGAGAGGTTTAGTATATTCCCTACGCCGAGGGTGAATGTTGACGGACCGAAGCCTAAGATTAATATCACAAACTTTTACGATATCATCCCAGACGCCTTCCGTTCGATGGTTAAAGGAAACATTAGCGCCGGCGACACGTCTGCCCTCCTGAATGAGGGCGGAAGATATCAGTATCAGACAATCAAGAAGATGTCAGCGGCGATAAAGCTTGAGTACGACTGGGGTCTGTGGCTTGATTCGGAGGCAGTCGTCGTACAGCCGTTTAGCATGCGGGAAGTGTTTGATAGCTACATCAAGACACCGACGGTTTGGAGATCCAAGAACTCGAGGACTGATTTTATGGTCTCCTTGATCACTGGATCGGCTAATGTTCTTGGCCGGGATATCGAGTCTTTTGGCAAGGCTTTGTGGAACTTGGAGAGGTAAGGCTGTAAATTCGTTCCGCGTTGCCCGTCGCTAACCGTGTCTGTCCAGTGTCCAGTGGATGTTGGAGAAAGAAGTAGTTAACGACCTCGTTCAGTCCGTGGAGAAAGCACACAAACAAGACTTTTGGACGGTCTGGGCAACGCGAGGCAGCCCGTTCGAGATCAACCTATACAACTTACACATCCAAGCAAGGAAGTTAGAGTCCAATGATCCGCTCTTCACTAAGTACCAAGTAGTGGAAACGGAGCGGGAGATGGACAGATTCGGCATGGGTAAGTCACAATTACCCAAACCATACAAGCACAAATCCTCTGAACAATGTGTTTCAACCTAATCAGACGCTGCGAAACCGATCATGGATCAAATAGTACTCACTGGCATATTCGAGACAAGTTACCTACTTCTAAAAGCCACAGAGGCCGTCCCTGGGTTCTCGCGAATGATGCGACATTACGGCCAGCGGCTTTTGCGCTTTGACGATCTCGATGTCGCGCCGCCGGAGGTTATTGACCGGTTTCTGTTGGATACGCCGATAAACATCTTGTGCGTGGGAGGACCGCCGTTACACAACTGGTGGCAAGAGCGAAACAAGACACTTTAGACAGCGATTTACTCTAATGAAAAGCTAAGACCCGTTTACTTCGGACTTCCTGTTCTTCGTGGCTCTCTGCCAACTCGCGTATTTTCTATTATTGCTACGATTGCAATCGTACAACCCCGCACTTATTATGTCGTAGATGTGATATTGAGACGGACATGGTCATTCTCCGTATCGAGTAAAAAAGTCTACACTATGCCCAAACCTGTGGCGAAGATCTCGATCCGCGGCAAGCTACGTCAGCGAGTGTCTGATGTTGCCAGCCACGCCAGCTCCACTCTTCTTCAGGGGGTCTCCAGCTCTAGCATATTATACCGAGGATCTCTCCCTCGGCGGTAGTGTGGACAGCCAATCGAGAATGATGCCGTTATGCAGCATTGGTGGGATGGCTTCTAATTGTCGTGTTCTTCGTTGTTGTTGCCGTTTGTGGTAGTTGGTATTGTTGTCGTTGTTGTTGCTTGTCGTGGAGAACATTAGATCTGACTGACACATGAGGGAACCTTTGTGAGAGTACAAGATGTTTATTTTCACATCAAAGCCGTTTGAAGATCTGGAAATATTCAAGGCACCTAGCTGGCCCTCCATTCAATGCCATTGTCTCATCAAGTTCGTTCAACTCGCAAAAATCTCTAGCCTCTTCTAGTTCACTCTGAAGAACATCATCTGAACACATGTCTCAGTTTATCAGACACTAGAAACCTCAATTAGCAACTATCAATAAAGAGAAGCATATATTGTACTTACGCTGTAGTAAGGAAGTTCAGTTGTCCATAAGTAAACCCTGCAGCCTCCCTTATTATCTGTGAGACACTAATAGAAGTGAAGTTAGTTAGGTCTTATTACAGTGTTTACATAGGCAAACTTACCTCCCATCCTCCGTTGTTTTTAAACCCAGGCTCCGACCCTGTTCTCCAGACCAAGTGCTGGTTAGACTCGCATGGGCTAGCGGCAGTCTGTCTTGCCTCAACCAGAGGAGCTGCATCTGTGAGGGCAGCACTTCCAGTGACAGCAAGTGAAGTAAGTGCGATAACTGTGTGGAGGAATTGCATTGTTGAGAGTTGAAATGTATGTTGTGTAGATATGTTGTGGTTCGACGCTGGTTGGAGTGATTCAAAGAGCAGTTCGGTTGAGCGGGAAGGAACATCACTTTATATCTATTTGAATTTGGCTTCAGATGCTGAGAAGATCTTCAGAGGTTGGCATGAGCACTTATTTCGTTATGAATATGATAAAAGTATAAATAATAGGCCTCATGTCCTGAATCTATAAATACTGGGTAAAGCGCCTGTGAAGCTTTCGCCAAAGGCAGGGATATGTAGATAATAAACGCATATTGAACTCTGCATCACGCGTGAATGTTCTTGCCCATGAAATCTGCTAGTTTAACGCTGGTGGGCGATGGGCCCTAAGGGAGTAGCCCGGTGGGATATTCTGATATAAATTAAATACCTGAGTCAGAAGTCCGTCTGGTTAATGTCTTGGGGTTTCATCTGACAAGAAGCCTCGTCCGTCCCATTCTCTTCCTCTACACAAAAGAATCATGATATGTCCGCCCGAATTCTCGCACGCGAGTTATTGTCAACTATATCACGAGAGCCTGGCTGGCCGAATGGTTCATTCTCAGCTGTTCGCCGGCCCACACTCCCGGACCATGCACGGCACGGAAGAGTTCTCAGCACCACTAACTACTACCGACGATTCCGAGAACTTTAATTTTGTCCCGCAATACTTCTGCCGTTGGTTCCAGGTATGTGCAACAAATTGGTTGGAAAGGTGTGTGCGGAAAAAAATTGCTCGAGTCCCATTATATCTACCGTAGACGCTGCGTTCAGCATTAGTAGCAGCAAACAGTTGGGAAGCTCCTGTTGGAAAATTCCTGTTGGAAAGCGTCCGCTGATACAAAGCCTTTTACTGAATGCGTCCCGTTCAAAAGAGTTGTGTGCGATTGTCTGCTAGACTTCACTGTGGTGGCACCAGCAGCACCTGTAAGTGTTAGACAATCTCTCCTGGAGAAACGATGATGCACTACTTTGGGGATCAACAGGTCGTCTCATCAGCCTACCAGGACATCAACCGCCAGATGAATATAGGCAAATGGGTCATTCGGAAACCTTCCTTGCGAGTGTTGTGACGAGCATGTCGTTTAGCCAGGCTTGGAGAGCAAAAGACAGTCTGATAGGATGGACGGTTGTCATGGGTGCGACTACACAGATACCATTCCTTTAATGGCATTAGGATCAGAAACAGGCCAACTTAGGAAATGTGACTTCTGGGTCGTTGGTATTCGTCTGACTCTTGACCCCGTATATATGGGACTGAGTAATAATCAAGGGGAATGAGATAACGTACAAGATGAGCGAGCTGGCTACCTAACTATATTTTCCCACCTTAATCATTCTGCTGCGTTTTTCTTACACCACAACAATGACCTCGCAGAACAAAGACGCTCAATCGAACTTAACAGTCTAAGCTATCAACCTCGTACGCTGCCGACATTTTGGACGGGAGGTCTGCTAACCGCCTTTCTAAGCCAAACTCTAGGCTGTACTCTTCCCGGAGTCGCCCCAGCTGGGAGAATATGTCTCTGAGCGATCTGCCGTAGCCCTCGTGGAGTTTGAGGCTATTGCGAAGAAGATCGTGACTTCGGTCATGCGTGAAGAACTGGTGGAGTGTGGCGCTGAACGCAGCGGCACCACTCATGTGTCGTTCATTGCCATACTTGAAGAAGAAGTAGCATACGGTACACTTTCAGACGGTAGTCGATAGCCGGCCATTATCGACCACTGATCAGGGACCGAGCTAAAACGGACTGTCTATAGTCGAGGTCAGCAGAGACCGAAAAAACGCGGAGCCGGCCTTGTCGCGCCGTTCACGAGGTCCGTCCGTTCACGGACCTTGTCGTCCTCTGAGAACCACCTGCGTGTGCCCCGGAGCCTCTGTGGGTTGAAGTTCTGATTGTCCTTGTAGCCCTATGCGAGGTTGTGAAGCAGCTGGCGCTCCTTTTGATCCTCGTATGTGTCTCGTGCCTGCATACGGACCTCTTCAAGGATGTGCCGAATCCCAGCAAGGAGCTCTTGCGACCTGGTCATCTCCTCCAACTGACAGGCATGCTGCTTCTGAACCTTTTGTTGCTGTTTTAGCGAAAGCAATGTGGCACTTGCATCTCTCGCTCTAATTTACAACGTTCTTTGATTAGCCCACCCAGTCATCTTCAAGCTTCTGTCGGCCGCGAGACGGCTGTAGAAAAGAGAGGTGGCAAATGACCACGCCTTGGCATTCGAATATAAGGGAGTAGAGCTCGGCGGCTTTGCGGAAAGGTTTCTGGTGATTGCGGGCGGAAGAATCGTTGACCGAAGACTGTCGAGATTTTGCTTGTAGAAGCTCGAAAACAGCTGCAGGTGGCAGATGGAGATGAAGTCATCGCGAGCACAGCCTCCTGCTGCGTCGTGTCGGTTCCAAGGAGCTAGGGGATACCGGTGCAATGCAGTCTTTAGAACATAGGGCTGCGAACCGGAAGCAATATGGACAAACCCAACCAGTGTACCGCTGCAAAGGGCTGTGTGCTAAGAGACTGTTTGATGATGTTATCAGTCCACACAAGGAACTTGGTCATCCTCTCGCTACGATTCCGGACTTTGATGTCCTTGCCAAAGAAGAAGAGAAGCCATTGATTTTCCTCGCGGTTCCCGACGAGCAGCTGCACGCAGTATCGTTTGATTTGCCGGGGCAAATGCCGATGTGCCTTTCGTAGTCTACAATTAGATCCTGCTCTCTTGTCCGGAGGATCTTGTACCATCGCCGGCACAGGGCTTGGGACTTGACGTCGTTCTCTTCCATCATTGGGATCTTCCGAGCGGCGGTTCTGGTGAGATGGCCTGTTGTGGGCGTCGGCGGCGGCGATAACTCAAAAGTCTAGCTTCGGAGACTCCCGCCTGAGTGTTCCAACGGCGCCGTTAGGTTTGCAGAAGAGCCGGCGCCAAAGGAGAAGTTCCTCAAATTTAATTGCTATGGGAATAGGTATAAAACAGTCGTTCACAGGAGATATGGCTATGGAAAGTCTTTGCCACCATTTTCAATATGCAGCAGCTGAGATTGTCAACATGTTGCTTTACGCTTACGCAGCCGACCTACGAAGACATCAGCGAGCGCGGTCGATACTATTACCGGTTCGTACGGTTCTCAGTGAGCCTGATAAATAGGCGGAATGTAACTGCCTTCCAGTGACAGTTGGGTGCTCTAAATATGGCGCGGCGCGAACAGCTGTTTCTAGGCGTGCTTTGCCGCATGGTTGAATGCTATCTTAAGACTTATTAAGCCCACACGATTGAGCTTGATTTTCACATGAAAGCCTCTTGAAGACCTGGAAACATTTCAGGCACCTCATCCTCCATCCCATAACATCGGCTCATCAAATATGTTCGACTAGCAAACCTGAGCAATTTTAGGACTCGCCTGGCTCAACATTGAAAGCGACCTAGAAACGTCGGGAAAGGCCTCTAGAAAACTCAGATCATAATTGGAGAAACTGAAGCTGAACAAGAAAAGAATGTGACAAAGGGCGTCCGTCGAACAACATTAAGTACCTGGAGATTGATGTTGACAGACTTGACTGGGACTCTAGGCAACGCATTTTGAACTACACAGTAAAACTCAGCCATCCGTCTTCATCCTGGGTAGTAAGAAATCAACCAGGCTTATAAGAGGTATTTGTGTGTCTTCACAAGAGACATTTTAAGTTGCCTGGAAGTTGACGCTCGATCCTCATGGTTTCTTTCACCAACACCATGTTGTGTGGATGGTTCCCGCGCCTGCAGACCGCCCGCCACCAATGCCTCACAATTCCACCAACAGCCTCTGTCCAGCACATACGACCATACCTTCCAGAAAACACGGGATCCCGTCCGCTCTCCCATAGTCATGCTGGAAAGGGCCGAACTAGTACTCAGGTCGGTGACGACTGGGGAATCCCCGGTGTTGTATGTTCTTTTTGTTTTGCATCTACATGTCTTTTGAACTTCTGACTTCCCGGTAAGACCAGTCCAAGTGTGAACAGTCCTCGAAGGCTAAGCTGAGGGTTGTGGTTACATGGTTTGGAGAGTCGGCAAGAGCTGCAAAGACTTGCAACATAATAGACAGGAGGTCCAGTCAGCGGACACCCAGCACGAAGTTGTTTACTAGACTAATGCAGCTTTTAGTTCCAATTACCCGACTCCCTTTTGCTTCAAACTTTATCAAATGGGCAGTTGTTTCTGGTGTTCTCGAGAGAAAACTCTTCCTAGTAAAGCTTCAATGTATCAACAGGCACTGACCAACACAGCAATTCCCGCCGGGCTGGCGAGGCCCGCTTTAGAGACTTTCGGTTATTTTTGGACACCCAAGTCCCCCGATGCCGGTAATCCGTTGGTGTTAAGGCTGCCCCTGGTGCGGCTTAGCGCGCTTGAGTCGGACTTTTTCAACGTCGATAGCGCCCGTGATTGGGATCTTCGGCGACCTACCGAGAGCGGTTGTTTGTATTACTCTTTCAAGATTTTCGCGAGATTATGCTGCAGGTTCGATGCAAACATGATCCCATCACAATCCCATCACATTCCGAGGCACAGTGTTGCATTGCGAAGAATCACGAACTTTGTGGTTTTGAGAAAGAAAATGTGGTATTGATTACAGTCTTGTGTCACTGAGACAAATTCTAAAAAGATTTACATGAACACCTTACAATCCAACAGCAGAGCGGATGGAGTCGATGAGGATGTTCTTATAGTCACCGCCAGCCTCCCACATGGCGAAGCCAGCCATGCCGGCGCCGGTGAGATACTTGCCCTTGGCAGTCAGCGACTCGGTGTTGTCGTAGGAAACCCAGACCTGAGCAGTCTCGTTGTACATGAAGGGGGTCATGCTGCAGTTGTCGAATCCGGTGGCGATGCCCTGGAGCGGCTTGCCAGCCTCGTCGAGGAACTTGGCCTCGGTGATCAGGCTCCAGAAGGTGTAGGTGCCAGAGGGGGGCGAGGCGTTGCCGCACTCATCGACGCGCGGGTCGTCGTCCCAGCTGCTGCCCTGGAAGCGGTTGGTGCTGTTCTGGACGGGGTAGGCGTTCAGCGTGTTGCTGCCGGAGAAGGCGCTGGTGGTGTTGACGGAGAAGCCGTGGCCGTAGGCACCGACGGCGAGGACAAGCTTGTTGGCGGGGATGCCGGCGTTGATCCACTTCTCGACGCCCTCCTTGGCGCCACCCTGGTTGTTGCGGGAGTCGCAGGTGTAGGCGAGGGGCGCGTTGGGTCCGCCGGTGGCGGCCCAGGCGCCGTAGATGTCGTAAGCCATGATCATGAGGTAGTCGAGCTCCTTGGCGAAGCCGGAGAGGGTGCCGTTGACGCTGCTGACGCCGGTGGCATCGTACCAGGGGAATAGGCTGGTGGCGGCGGTAAGGTAGAGCTGCTTGGACTGCTTCTGGCGGAGCTCCTGGAGGAAGGACAGGAAGTTGGCGGTGTCGTCCTTGTTGATGGCGTTGCAGCCGAGACCCTGGCGGTTGGGGTACTCCCAGTCGAAGTCGAGACCGTCGAGGTTGTACTGTAGACTGTTAGTGACTGTTGCATACTATTGGGATATCGCCTCTCTTACCTTCTCGACGAGGTCAAGGCAGGTCTTGACGAAAGCAGTGCGGTTCTCCGCGCTGCCGAAGGCGGTGCTGAACCAACGGCTGCCGGTCCAGCCTCCAATAGAAACCAGGGCCTTCACGTTGTTCTTCTTGGCCTCCGAAACGAAGACGGGAAGCTGGTCGGGAGCCGACTTGGTCAAGTTGAGGCTGCCGTCCTCGGAGGTCTCGGCGAAGGCGTACTTGGCGTCGGTGTACTTCTCCCACGGCATCTGACTCACGGCGAAGCCGCGGTTGGCGTGGTATCCGGCAAAGTACGTCGAGGCGACGAGGCCGGAGGAAGTGTTGGCGGCGCACGCGGCGCTGGCGCACACGGCCAGGACGGCCGCGAGCGAGGCCTTTGTGAGTCTAGCGAACGACATTATTTATCACGAATCACACCGATAGGAAAGAAAAAAGTGAATGTAAAAGAGTGTGATGGTGGTGTGGTGAGACCGAATCATCTCAAGGCTGTCAGCGGTCGGGACACCGAAGTCCCTTCATATATACTCGCACCACCAACACCTTCTGCGCCGCAGCCAACGAAAGAGCCGCTCCATCAACAGGCGCACTTTGTCGGACGAGGCGCCGCCGCAATTGTTGGATAAAGTTCAGCAAAGCCCCAGCTCGCCCACGCAAGCTAATTGTTTTTCTGGGGCTCGCAGGCAAACGCCGCGGCGGCACTGGGCCAAGAATGACTCGCCGGCAGGGGTCAGCCCAGACGTCGGCACCCAGAGTTTGGTCTGATGTTTAGTTGGTTTATGGGGCGGAGGGCATTAATAGGTCGCTTTTAATGAACCCCCTGAGCCTGTGAGCAATGGGAAAGCGGCGAGGGCGATCCGGGTATTTGCAGAGGATGCAACATGCTGTGACGGAGGGCAGGCTGACCCCTCCTCAAAGTCCCCTTCGCCCCCTATTTTTCTCCAATTTCGCGTCCGCCCAGTTGGGGAAGAGGAGTCGTTGGTTCGTTCCCACTGTTGACGAATGACGGGTTTGTTTTCATGTCCGGGCCGCCCGACCAAGCACACCAACACGCGGGTGATCGGGCCAAGCGGCGGGAAGTCAGGCTCGGCGATGAAGAGCGATATTGCCGTGAGGAGGTGCTGACAGGGTCAAGGTCGAGGGCAGAAAAAAAACAGAGAGAGAAAAAAGAGAAAACGAAAAGGGGATGGCGCAAGAATGGCGCAGCTTCGCAATGCCCGTTACAGCCAATGCTATCCGTCGCCTAGGAACCGAAAGCGATTGGTGAATCCCAACGCCGTGGTACCTTGGAGAGCTGGATCCCGCGAGAGTTTGTTTTCTCTTTTCTTTCACGAGATCTTCGCAAACGTTAAACAGCTTCAACCGTAGCCAGTTGAGTGGTTCCAGCCGTTCCGGATGCAGCGTTGAACCACGCGGCGCGCCTTTTTCTTTTCCCCAATGAGGCCGCCGACAGGCGGGTGCAACGTGCGACTGCATGAGACACCGAGGAGGGGTTCGCCATCCAGCGCGTTCGCCGAACCGGCGCGGACGTGCACGAGTTCCTGCATGTTCCCGGTTCATCTCATGCTGTCAAACATGTGAGGGTTGCTTACGCACAGCAGATTGATAGGCTGTCAACGAGTCAAGGGCACCTCCTGAAGCTCTGCGGGAAAGCAGGTGTTTAGCTGCCAGTGGAAGCAACGCGAACATCCGCGGAAACATCGCGAAACATGTTTGACAGAGCGCAAGGCAATTCACCATTTCATTTACTGTGAAGCTAAACAGTATCTCTTGTTGATGAGACATTGAACATGGCTCTTGTTCTACATTCTAGTTCCCAGCCGGCTGGAAATTCGGGGAAACTAGTCCTCTCCCCGCAGTCTCTCTCCATGTGGACCGTCGGCGAGCAGTGCCTTTGATGCCCACGGAAAAGGTTAAGGTGGGCTATGGCGTTCCGCCTCGATGGGTAGCACCCCACGGCACGCGGGTGCCACGACGGCCACCATCTCAGCCGCAGCCGGATCTGGCTCCCGTCGCTAGATCAAAGAGCGCTGAGAAATTGGTGTGAGATATGAAGGCCGATTAATTTTTCGGTACGTAGTTTTTGCTCTGCAATAATTTGCTGAAACGGGGCACTGTTGCTCTGCAGTGTGAGCGCGCAAGTACATCGTCAGTCTTGGCTAGCCGGTGGGAGATGAACACCCTTGATTGATGCCACATGGTTGCCGCCCAGCATCAAGCCCGCCTCAGTCTTTGTGAATGTTTCTTTTGGGCATTACCTCTCTCATTTATGGTCCATTTCTCAGCCGATAACTTGAATGCTAGATTGATGGTTGAGTTGTGACAACACCCCCCCTTCGCAAAAGATATTTACAGCCCCCACCTCCACTCCATCGCCATTGGCGTGAAGCTCATGAGTGAATAGGTCTGCGTTTCTTTCTCATCAAATATCAATTTTCACAGTCGAGTCTCTTAACCTGGAAGAGTCACGTCAGATTTCGATCGAAATGCCCTGTTCGCAATAACCTTATTCTTTCTGACCTGCCTAATGCGTCTTGGCGTTTCGGAAGACATGGACGCTGATGATCAACTTGGTGGAGACCCGCAGCACCTTGGCAAGTCCCTCTTCCCGTCATTAATATTGCTTAGCATCAACCAAGGAAACCTTATGTATTGTAGATTTTTCGCAAATTCGATACGAGCCCCGAAGGCAGGTACTTGGACACCTGACCGCAGAGACTGTTGGGGCTTTCATTCGGATCAAGGCAAACCTATGAAAGCATCGATATCCCACCGGGTCGGTGTCGCTGTGTATCATCCCGGCACTCGGGATTTCGAACTGCAGGTCGCTCCTCGTACCAAGGCTTCGAGTATCATTCAGGTATTGGAGGTTGTAAATAAGCCATTCAAATTCAATGACAAAATCTCAAATGACTTCCAGGCTTCCCAAACCATGGAACAAGATCTATGTTTGGACAACCTCGCACTGCGGCTTTGGCCCGACAGCCTTTCCTATAGCATCCTCGATGCAGCCCTGGACTCCCGACCCATCCACGATGAATTCAACAATCCACTCCCTGTCGTCCCTCATCTCATACTTGAGCTTCCAGTAACCTTCATTCTTGACCATTCCACACGCACCCACCTTCTCATCCAACGTAGCCCCGTTGTCATGACCAGCCCACCCAGCGCCCCAGATCTTTACACCAGATATAACCCGCCGACCACTTCCGACCTCGATCTTGCACCCCGACTTGAATCCGTTAGAAGCATTCGTCCTCACCGAGAGCGGAACCATTCGATATTTGATGGAACCGCCCGCCTTGAATGGGACAGGATTGGAACTGGATCGCCCGACGCATGTGTCAAGGAGCTTTCCACGCATGATGTTGATGCAAGACTCCCTGTTAACCGGATAGTAGATGCCGGCGGGGAACCGAATAGATAGTGAGACAGCGTCCGGACGGATTTCTCTGTACCGGCGCGTAAAACGTGACAGCCCGATGAAAAGCTCCCGGCCATCGCGGAGCTCCTGCTTCGATGCCTCTGGACAGACCTCCTTCTCGATGATTTCGGCAAGTTAGTTGCGCTCGACCCAGCGCTGGTCATTCTCAACGCCTTCGCATTTGAGAACCGGATCGTCGAACGACTCCCATATGTCAGCGTCGCCGTTTTTCACCTCTTGTCTCGGCACGACGCTCCGCTTTTTGCCAGGGATGCCAGCGTAAGGCTGGTTTGCAGGCTTGGCTTGGTGGTTAATTCCGATTTTGAGGAGAGCGGTGGTGGCGCCGGAGTCAACAATCACCTGGTCGGATGTGACTGCCATGATCTGGTTTTGTTCGATGCGTTCATAGACGTTCCTTGCGTTGGAGGTGACGCAGCCACCTTCCCATCCGATGTGATCTAGAGCAGGAATATTCCTCGTCCACTACCCCAACAGGCGGTTCTGATGGTGCCTACTTGTCGGCCGAGCGCTCAGGGCTTACGTTGTGGTTGTGAGTAACGCGCACAACACCTAGATCGCGGCGGATGAGATCGTGGACGACTTGGCTGTTACCCTCGGGGATGACAAAGTGGTAGGTAGCTTGACGATGTTGATCGAGGCGCAAGCCTCATCCGCATCTGGCTATCGTGGGGATTTCGGACTTGCGCTCCCAAACTTCCTTTGACTTACTTAATGAGTCCCAGAGCAGGTGCACCTAAATACGATGCGAGTTTCCAGGCGTCGGGCTACAGTCGGACTCTCCACATAGTAACTTGGCTGTGTTTGGCACCTCAGCTCATGATTGGCTCCATCGCACTCTCTCAATAAGTGACAGCTCTCTAAGCCACCATTGGATCGCTGATCCCTGAGACAGATAGTTATTGCGAACAAGTCATGTTGACAGACGGACATCTGAACAATGTCGTACCATCTATCGCCATTGTCACTGAACCGAGAAAGACGCAAATTTTGAGTCGTCAGGTTAACATTGATTAAGCAAACCACGTTGCATTTAGTCTTGCGTCAATTACGCGCCTCTATCTAGCTACAACTAATCTCTCTTTCCTTTGGCTGGCTTCCACTCGAAATGATGCTGGCCTGCTTTGGGCTCGCCCGGGAAAACGTCCTCCATCTTGTCAAACATGTGTTTTCCAAAGTAATCTAGCTCCGCCTCCATGAATTGCGTGGGAAGCTCATTCGACGTTGAGTATTTGTAATACTCGAGACTTTGGCTCAACGCAGGGACACAGAGGTCTGCCTCAACAGCTTTCAGGATGACTTCCTTCGTGGCAGAGAAGTTGCATGATAGATCGTTTCCAACCTCGTGGTTGGAAAGTACGTCGTCTTCGATATTGCGGTCCTCGCGACTGTACATGGCGTCAAGCACGTCGACGATGCCGTCCGTCTGGATGATGCATCCGCCGCGCCACAGTTGGAGAATATTTCTGTAGTTGAGCTTCCAGGTCATCTTGGCGTCCTGAGCCTGGATCATGTCCATACCCTGTGCAAAGCAAGTAAGGAATCCAAAGTAAGTCGCCTTCTGCAGATGATTGAGAAAGTCTTCTCTGGAGGTGACGTCCAGCGTTCTCGACTCCACGCCTCCATTCGCAGCATCTTTGTTGTGCTTGCGTTGTCCGGCAAAGGCGGACGCAAACCGGAACAGATGAGCGCTGACGATCGTTGCTGCAGGGATGTGCAGGCTGATGGCATCTCGACAGGTCCAGTTGCCGGTTCCCTCAGTCTCGTCAACATCCTGCACGACCTTGTCTCTGATATGGCCCAGAGGATCCTCTCCATACTCATCTCTAGCGTTTGAGATGTCGACTGCGATCTTGATGAGAAAGCAGTCATGCAAAGGGCCCGACGAATTCCACTGGTCGAACACAGCTCCGATCTCAGAATAGCTCATTTCGAGGCCCTGCATCATGATCGACCACACTTCTGCCAGTACAGACATCATGCCCTGCTCGATGCCATTGTGAACCATCTTCACAAAGTGCCCACTTCCTCCCGGTCCCACGAGGCCTGTGCAAGGCTTGCCGTCTCGCCCCTTGGCCGCGAGCTTTTCCAGAAAAGGGAGAATCCGGCGTACCACGTCGGGATCACCACCGGGACAGAAAGAGGGACCGGATCTGGCGCTCTGGTAACCGCCCGACACTCCGCATCCGATATAATGAATGCCTTTTGGCGCGAGCTCTCGTTGTCGTCTTTCAGTAGCTTGCCACTGCTCATTCGCGCAGTCGATTATGATGTCGTCCCTCTCCAGATTGCCACCCGACAAAAGACCCTGAATAGCTTCATCGCCGACGGAGCCATGCGGGGTGCTGAAGACGAACACACCCGGCTTGCTTTGCGCCTTCACAGTCTCGCACAGATCCTCATAGCTCTCCCGTGCCGTGACACGGTCATCCAGACCAAGATTCATGGCGTCTCTTCTCAACTTGTCTATGTTTTCTTTGCCTAGGAACTTGTTAGTAGCCGAGACGACGGTCGGCGTCGAATGGGGCCGTACTAGGGTCGTAGAAGAAGACACGATAATCGTTCTCGGCGAAAAGAAGACTCATCGCAGCCCCCATGCTGCCTACGCCAACAACACCAATCTAGCTAAGGTCAATCATTTTGGAACTTTTGAGCACCAGGTCTCCTGGTTGAAAATGACTTACAGTGGTGAACTCGACTCCTTCGGTCGGCATATTGGCGATATTTGGTATCCAATCGGTGAATAAACTTTTGACAAGCAGGAAGAAGGGAACGTTTGCAAAGACGGAATATGCAGATTGACTGATAACAGTTGTACCTAAAGACGAAGATGGTGGTTGCTGGATGACGTTTGTCGGGCGTAAGTGGTTCATCGGATGTCATCGTGACGTCTTGGCTGAGGTGCTTGGCTGAGCATTGACTAGTGGGTTGCTTTGGCCCGCCCAAAGCAACTGTTTCATCAGCTGCAAACCGATCATCTAGAAGGAGACCACAAAATCAGACAATTTCCACAAAAGACGTTGCGGCGGTTGCGAAATCATGATTACTCACTCACCAGTTAAGTTGTGATAGGTCTGTGGTTCATGCCAAAAAGCAGACCGAACCCCGATATTTTCGAGACGATCTTGGACAACTGTATTCACCGAAGCTACACTAAATCTTTGGGACTTCTCTGCTGCCCATCGTCGACAGACACTGAAACATGCGTTGTCTTGGTAATGCCGTCTGGGGGTACACTTCCCTGCCTCCCCACGATGCTCTCTTCAGAGTCCATCTTGGATCGGTTGAATCCCGACCTGACAGCAGTCGTGTTTCGTCTCGACCTTGAGAACATTTCAATATTCCCCTGGGGATCGCCAGTAGCACCAGTTCGGTTCGTCCCATTGTTTCGCACGTAGCCATCGTGGTTGTTGTACTGAGAGGTATACTTCGCTGAGGAGCCTGCGAGGATGGCCCTGAACAGGGGCTTGAGACAAGGAATCGAGGCGGCGATAATTGCTGTGCAGATTTCGACCGTTGTCCTACGAATGAGTCATTAGCGTGTGCAGCTTCAACTGTGGTACTGGAGACAAGAGGGCTATTTACCAGATTGTAATATCGGAACTGTCGAAGAGGAAGTCGCCGTGTTTGCCGTAATTGGGCAGGAAAGAGATCTTGATGACGGCGGCGACGGTGGCGCTGGACGGTGGGGTAAGCAATGGGCTCTCGAAGAAAGGACGTAATCAGTCAAGTTGGCTTACAAGATTCCCAACGACAAGACTCCAATAACTGCGGATTTGACTTTCCAGTTGAGTTGGACTGTCCACAACATTGGGATTGGCAACAAGGCGAAGAGTAGATCTGTGAATACCGAGACACCTACAAAAGGTACAACTACATGAGCAAAATGGAACTGACCGAAAGTGACAGAAGACTTACCCGAGTTGAAGAAGGCAGCAAACTTCAGGTTTGCTGGTGGGATGCATTCGCCACCCTCGATCGAGGTATCCCACGCGTAAGCCAGCGGCCGACATTGAAAGAACACGGTCACTTGAAAGATTAGAATGGATGTTTCTCTACATGTTCATGTTGGAACACCTACAAAAGTTCCCTGTCGCGGAGAGAACCGTAAAGACGATGGTACCCATGATAAAGTACCGCATCCGCGTCGAAGGGCTTACCCTCAGCAGAAACAGCCCAACGCTGACTTTAGCTAGACAAAGAGCAATCAGGCAGAGAGGCTGTGTGACAAAGTTATAATGCAGCCCGATGACAACATTTTCCTTGAGTTCGATGTATTGGATATGTCGCCCTCCTCCGTATTCGACTTCAAGGAGGATCACCATCATCTCGGCGAAGATAACGACCTACATAGGAAAGAGTATCAGCCAATCACTTACAAAGTTTTTGAGGTTGATTGAAATCATGGTGGCTGGAGTTGAAGATCAAAGGAGCGCTGATTTCAGCAGATGACATGAGACAGTACTTACCGTGGCGGCGACGATACACCAATCATCCCAACCAACGAGTCGAACAATCCTCGTCCTTACATACATCCTCATCATGACAATAACCACCGAGATACCCACCAGGCTCCCGCAGGTTGCGAGGATCTCAGGGCCTCTGTTGATATCCGGCGGAAGCTCCGAAGCGTCGGCCATGGCTAGAGAATCTTAAAGCTTGAGTAGAAATGAGGTGGAACCAAGAGCACGCAAGATCGACAGCGGGCCTCGCATCGACGAGGCACCCAATTCTTTATCTCGGTGTGGCCAAGCCACGCTCGCCTCCTATTACTGCCGCACCATGCTCCGCTGCAGAACGCCGGCACCTATTCTGCGCCGAGGCGGCGCAGAGAAGAGGGAAAATTTCAACCCACCTTTAGTGGCAGGTGAACCTGTTGGTGTGGCTGATCCGATGGGATGGATCATGCAGGAACATAACAGAAATGACGCGAGTATCACCGACAAGGGGCAATGGAACTTGCCATAGACCCCTACATTAACATGCGACCCTCCTTCGTGAGGGACTTGTCCGAATTCGCGACTGCTTCGTTATCCTTTACCATTTAGTCTGTGGCTAGTCAGTTTTCCTCGTTCGACCAACAAGATTTACGATTCCCCATATTTCATCATCCGTTTTGTCGACATCTACGTATGTCTCATTTTTTGCGTTAACATCCAACGGCTATGGTCCAACCCGCAGCTCATTTTGATGCGCGATCGCGCTTGAAACCTTCAGACATATGTCGAGCTGATTTGAATAGGTCAATCGAAGGTAAATTACATTCATGTCTAACCAGCTTTTCACATCTAACAATTCTCGCCGAAAATATTTGCCGCATGTTCGTAGCGTCAAGCAATGTTGCCCACCGGGATGTGGGCAATCCTTCAAACTAGAACCAACATAGACATCAACACGAGTTAAACCTTGCCATTATGCCATTTTACGGCCAAGGTCACGAAGCCCAGACATTGTTCCACTAATGGTGGAGGATTATCAAGGACTCAGGAGTGGGTCTCTTTCCACCGTCCATAAAATACAGGGATGTCCGGGGAACAAAGATCTGGCGAACAACCGTTCCTCGCAGCAACTCGGCGGCCCGGCAGCGAACAGAGCATCAGTCGGCCAAGACGTTCGCTTCTTCGTGGCATTCCGGAACTTCCGGCATGCGCGTACCTTATTGGACTCCCTGGAACCGATTCCGCGGGCCAGGGGACCTGCATGCGACCATTGCGATAGGAGCGTATCTAACCGTCATGGAGGACGGTGTTGGCGCAGGGGGACAGCATACTGATTCGCTCTCATGATCTTGTGTGGAAACTCCGCCGGTGAATCTCACTGTCGGAATCCTTCAGCGACGGTGGCCCAAGATGCTGGGCGCGCCCAGATGAAGCCAGATTCCTGAGATTAGGGGCCGGCAGAGAGCCGAACTTCCTTTTTGCGAAGGTCGTCCGCGTCGGTGGCATCTCAGACCCTGCCTGCATGCCGAGGGCTCAGCAACCAACGTTACCAACAACAACGCCGTGCTCTTCTGGTTCGCCGAAAGACACCCTTCTCTTCGGCGTGCGGTACGCCACCTGTGCCACCTGAATACGACTCCACTGCATGCAAGTTGGTGCAGAGCGCCGCAGACGTGCATCGCCTCTTAGCCCAGATGGGCGACAGAGCAGGCTCGCGACAGGCCATCGAAGAAATTCTGCAGAGATGAGAACCGGACTCGCCAATTTGCCGGCATAAGCTCCGCAGCAGTTGTGCTCTTTATTATGTTACGTCCATCGCCCATTGACGCGCTGACCTTTCTCTCTTCATCTCTCTTCAAGCTGACTCGCATTCAGACTTGACACGGGCCCGGCCATTAGTTCGTCAAAAGACTCGCCAAATTTGATTGACGATCATTTTTTTCCAGAGACAACCGCCAACCATGAGGATCAGCTCCATCGTCTCTACGGCCATCCTGGCGTCGTCTGCCTGGGGTCTCCCGACGGTCCAGCCCCGCGACGATCTCGCCGCCGACGAGGCCCGGTTCTCCAATCTCACGGAGAGCATCAAGGCTGACGTGCTCAAGTCGCTGGACGAGCGTGAGGAGAAGCTTCGCAAGCGCGGCGAGACGGCCTCCTGCACGGCGAGGAACCTGGTCTTCCGCCGCGAGTAGTAAGTCATGATCCCTCCGCCCCAGCTGCCCAGAGAGTTGCCGAGATGAAGTGACTGACTCAATGCACCACCAGCGGTTCTCTGTCCCAGGAAGAGAGGCTTGCGTACGTCAACGCGGTCAAGTGTCTCCAGCAGTTGCCCGCGCACACGCCGGCGAATGTTTCTGCGGGTGCACGGTCGCGGGTAAGGCCATGAGCCCACTCACACAACCCACTTCACCGGACCGATCCGAGATTGGCTGACTCTTTTTGGCTTGTTGTGATAGTTTGATGACTTTGTTGTCATTCACATTCAGTCGACTCTGTTCATTCACTACACGGGTGCGTTTGCTCTTCTTAAGGAAATCGACGAGCCCTGATGGTTGCTGACATTGCTGCGCAGGCAACTTTATGCCATGGCATCGCTGGTTCGTCCACCTGTACGAGAAGGCATTGAGGGATGAATGTGGTTATACTGGCTACCAGCCGGTGAGTGTTCATTTAGGAAAGGACCCCAACAAGGATTAGAGAACTGACTCGCAATGACAGTACTGGGATTGGCCGAAGTACGCTTCGGCTCCCGAGAAGTCTCCCATTTTCAACGGAGACCCGTACAGCCTCGGCGGCAACGGGGACTACGTGCCCCATGATGGCCCCGTGATCACCCCGCCCGACGGAGTCGGCGGCGGCAACATCCAGCTGCCTGCTGGCGTCGGAGGTGGCTTCGTGACCACCGGTCCTTTCGCCAACATGACTGTCAATCTCGGCCCCGTCGGTGGTCTGGAAGGAACGGCCGCCGGCCCGGATGGCGGTCTCGGCTACAACCCCCGCGGACTGAAGAGAGATGTCGGACCTGCCATGAACCAGAGATACGCCAACTACACCACTGTGCTCAGTATGTGTTACTGGAGAATTGATATTCGATCGATCGACTAACCAACGATAGACTTGCTTCTGAAGCCCAATATTTCCGAGTACCGCCTTCTTTCCGAGGGCGTCCCCTACACAATCGAGATTGGCCCTCACGGAGGCATGCACTACGCGATCAGCGGTGATCCGGGCGCCGACTTGTTCACCTCTCCCGGCGACCCTGCTTTTTGGGTGCACCACGGCATGATGGATCGCATGTGGACCCTCTGGTAAGCTAAGCATTAAGTCTAAACTTAATGCGACATTCCTGATCTGACATTCCTCCTCCTTACAGGCAAGCGATCGACCCAGTCAACCGCCACAAGGACCTCAACGGAGGAGACTATGGGCACCTGACCTGGGCTAACGAGCCACCTTCCAACAAGACTCAGCTTACCGATGTTATTGACATGGGATATGCTGGCCCGAATATCCAGATCCAAAATGTCATGGATACGCTCTCCGGCCCCTTCTGCTACTTCTACCTTTGAGGATGCATCTCAGGGTTCTGAGAGATATACAACTGAGCTTTTTAGCAAGGTTGCCGTGTCCCGGTCCAGTTGTCAATGACCTAGTGTAATGATAATCAATGAATTTGAATTCCAGCATCCCTATCACGTATATTGGAGATGTATGATAGATCCTCACGTAGCGGAGAATAAGACAACAACAACGACAATTGCGAAACGCGGCTCAACAATGAAGTACCTGGATATAACGACGCACTCGCCTTCTTACAGCCATGCCAAAATGGAGGTAATTAAGCTCACACTTGCTAGTAAGCCTGGCCTCTGATAGTATTAATCGAGACTTTTAGTATATCTCAAATCAAGCGATAGTTACTTCTTTCAACTCTAGAATGTCCTGTCGGTTGCTCATCAAGATGCAGATGCCGATCCGCCGAAACGTCAACTTGTCCGAGCACCGTTTGAAGACAAGGGCCACACTAAAGTTGACAAAGGCCACGAGAAGCTCCTGGCCATGCGAAATTTCTCGGTCCGTACGGTGCACTATTAGGGTAGATCTGCTAACCGCTAGTTTTAGGGTTCTGTAGACGAAAGTTAGGCTAACTTAACCTTATACTTTATTTCAATTGATTAATATAGGTTGAAGTTAGCCTAACTTTAACCTTATAATTATGTATAATTATAGGTAATTAATTATAATTATACCTAAAGCTATTCTTATCCTAAAGTAATAATTATAAGTTTATAGCTCTATTTTAATATATTTGTATTATTTATACTTTCTTATACTACTTTTTTATTCTATCTTATACTCTATTATACTTAATACTTTTTTTATATTTATTTTAATAATAAATTATTAATAGATATTTCTTATAAAATAGAATTAGATAACGATTTAGTTTAGTTAGTATTACTTTCTATTGATAAAACTAATAAGTTTCTAAAGCTAATAACTCTAGAAAATTATTATTTCAAACTTAAAAATAGTATAATATACTATAATAATAACTTTAGTTCTAACTTAGTATATCTTAACTAAAAGTATTAACTTATATCTAAAAACTAAGTATATTAATTTATATATTAAAACTAAATATATATTATCTATTCTCTCTTAACTGGTTTATATCTAAAAACTAAATATTATTTATTAAGTTATAGTTGTCTTATAAATGTTTTTAGATTTATTTATCTTTTATGTACGAATTATAGTAAGGTTAGATTTAAGATCTTATTAATCTCTAGCTTATTCTTTAAGATCAATTTAATAGATTTACTCTATTAAATTAATCTTTTATTTTTGTAATTAATGTTTTATTTTATTTTAGTTAAAATAAAATATAATTTCTAAAGTAGTAACTAATATATTTTTAAAGATATTTTATATATACTTTTTTAATATTTAAATAATATAGATTACTATATTCATTTATAGATAACTATATGACTTTTAATCCTTTATAGCTTTATAAGGAAGAAACCTTTAGTTATAGTTAGCAATTTTATTATTAAAAAAGAAGTAAATTAAGATAATCAAAATAATAAAATATCTAACTATAAAAGTTATCTATAGGAAGAGATATTTAAGAAAGAAGTTTATAAATAAGATAAAATAAACTAATCTTTCTATTTAAAAGGGATACTTTCTAACTTTAATATAAGTATAAGTTAAGACTTTAAGAAGTTAAGTTATTATATATAATTACTTAACTTTAGTTTAAGCTGTTTAGAGTAATAAAAATAAGAATAATAAAGATAACAAAGATAATAAAGATAATAATAACTATAAGTAATTGTATATAATTATTTAGTCTATTTTATATTAGCTAGAGAGTACTATATAGTTAAGTTGTATAAAGAGTGCTATAACTATATTATAAATTTAATTATAAGTAGAATTATCTAAAATCCAATTTAATTTTTAAGTATTATACTAAAAAGAGCTAACTATTAGTATTATGAATTAAGACTAAATATATATATCGTTAGTAAAAGTTTTTAGTTAAATCTATTTAATAGGTTTCAAATTCTACTTAGGAAAGCTTATAGAAGTTGTTATAGTTATAAGGAAATCTTATTTACTTTTTAATAAGTTTCAAATTCTATTTATACAAATTATTATAATTATAACAAAATCTTACCTACTTATTTATCCTTAATAACAGTTATTTAGGTATAGAAGTTAAAACTAGCTATACTATAATAATAGATATAGTAAAGCTAAAAGAATACTTACTTTTTAAACTAGCTACTTTATACCAAAAAGCTATACTAAACCTAATTATTAATAATAGTAATAATAAGGATAATAATAGGGAATTGATACACGGGCATCACGAATTGATACACGGGCATCACTCTTATCCGGGCATCACTTTTAAGCCCATCTATTGGCCCAAATCTTTTGTTAGTGCACTTCCATTCTGCTAACCACCCTACAAGTATTACCGCCCAAAACATTCTTTCTGCCACCTAGCCCCTAAACCCCGCAGTTTAACGCATCGTAATAATCTACATCAATCATCAACGAATCTATACAAATTCCATCCATTACAATGGCTTCGCCTATTACAGTATCTGATTCGTTATCCCAATCCCAACGGAACCGAAAGCGTCAAGCTCAAAGTCCCAGGTCTTCCAACCAACCTCGCCCCGAGAAACGTCAACGGTAACACAGACAACTCCGGCATCCATCACCCACACTCTCCACAAGTAGTAGTGGTTCCAGTATCAGCCTATACTACGGGGCCGGTGATGATAGAGCACTTGATAACATCTTTGCTTCACACCCTCAGTTATTCACTTCCGTCCCAGAACCTCATGGACTCCGGGGATACGATGATGCTGCTATCGAGACGTATAACAACCACAAGATTTGGCTCTCCCTTCAATACCCTTCCGGTCTCCGCTGGCAAAAGGTCAAAATGCCTATGCTTGGTCCAGAATATGGCCGATTACCTTCTCATCAATGGAGCC